TCCTTCCTTCCTTAGATGTTGGTATCTTACCCTTGATACATTAGAATTACTGGATTCTAAGTCTCACTTTGGGTCAGGAAGCAGCTGGCAGGGAGTGTGGGTGGTAGAAGCCGAGGGACAACTGTGTGTGAGGGAAAATCTGAAGCACGGGCTGACACAAAACAATCTCACAGTGCCACGGTTTAACTTTGCCTCAAGCCAAATGTGAAACACTGTGTTTCCCTTCTTTCTTAAGTCCCTCAGTGGCAGCATGGGCAGCCACTTACTTTGTTGTTTTATTGGCCTTGTTCATACTGAGGCAGACTAGACCATGGCTTGATAAGCTTCATTCTAGAAAAGTAAAGGAAGCTTAACTCAGTCTTTGAGGATCCCGGCTTTCTGTGGGCAGAGATGGCTACCAGGTATATACCTGATCCCCGTCACCAGGTATATATCCCTGATCCCAGGTTTGCTGTGTGACAGTTAAGAGTCTACTTCTTGGAGTCTATTCAAGTACCAAAAAGTGTGTCTTCAGAACAGAAAGAAAGAAAAAATAAACAGAAAGAAAAATAAGAAAAGAGAAACTCCTTCACACTTCTAACTAGAAAGGATTCTAGTATAGGAAGGTAGATACTTCTATAGGTGCCTAAAGCTTCTAGAAACTGGCTCTGAGCTTTGTGTCCTGCTGGAATTAAGCTCCTATGTTTGCAGGACCTGCTTCTTCAAGGCTGCCAGTTGAGGTTACTTTACAAAGAAGAAGCTGTCTTGGAGGCCCAGCTTCTTGGCAGCACCGGGAAAGCTGGGAAATGGACACTTGAAGCTATAATCCAGGATTAAGGATCATGTGGCTGTTACTTTAATCATTGTGCCTCTAAATCCAGGAAGCTGGGCAGTGGGTAGCAGGATGCTGCAGGCAAGTAATCTGCCGATGCTTTGGCTTCTGCCTGTCAGAAGCAATAGACTGAGCAGTAGCAGAAGGCCAAGGAAGACAGCCTCTGCCTCAGGGTTACCTTCTAACTCTAGTTGCTGTGCAGGGCTGAGGCTGGTGGGTGGGGCCAGTCACTCACATCAAATGCGCTGCTCTGGGGGAGTGGGGAGATGTTTACCTTCTCTGGCAGATTCCTGCCCTAAATATGAAGTTGAAAACGAAATGAATTCTCATTTCAGGTGAGAGATGTTATCAGACAGATTTTCCTATTACTTTTCTGTAGGTCATCCTTACTCTTCCTTGGGCTTTTTCCTATGGCTTACTTCAGGCCACTGTCTCTATTAGATAAGCCACAAATGGATTCTTTCAGTTCTGACTGTTCATATGAATATTAGCATTGCAATTCTTACTGTTTGTGGCTGTGCAAATCCAGATATTATGTTCTTTCCTGACATACACAGACTCCGAAACTGAATTCTTCAGCTTGTTGCCCTGAATCTCTTTTTTTCCTTGTGCCTTTGGTCTTTTCAACACACAATTCCCCACCCCACTTTGTAGCTCATCTTCCTGGGCTCTGCAGCCTGTCAGCAGTGACGTCTTGTTGCTTCTTTCTCATCCTTTCTCACTTAGCTTTATTCCCACTTCGCCATCAATAGCCGTGGATTTGGTGCCCGCCATTCGCTTAGCAATCAGGCAGGTTCAGCCGTGTGATTCTTCCCACCGCCAGCCTGACAGCTGCTAAGCTGATAGCCTGCTTTACTCTGCATTATATTGATTTCATACATAGTTGGTATCAAGAGGATGGTTTCTGTTTAGATTAAAATAATAGCTCTTTGAGCCATTTTAATTTTTAATTTGAAAATGTTAGCTTACTGACTGAATTAAAAGGGGGAAGATTATAGGACCACAGACGCTGAACTTTTTTGTGTGAAGGACTTTGGAGAATCGGTCCAACCCTATTTCTCCTCCCCTTAATTTCCAGTGAAGCCTTCATTAGCTTTGTCTAGCTAGCAGGGAGGCACACAAGACAGGGATCCTGATTGTTCCCAGGCAAGTATGTATTTTGCTTATAGGAGTGTGACTTATGGAAATGTGTGTAAGTTGAAATCAAGGACTTGCTAACCGAGTACTTTGTGAATAAACACAATTAGAAACAATTTGATAGCACAAACTAAGTGCTATCTTAGTCCAAGTTTCTATTGCTGAGATGAAACACTATGACCAAAAGCAAGTTGAAGAGGAAAAGGTTTATTACACTTCAGTATCACAGTTTATTCTCAAAGACACTCAGGGCAAGAACTCAAACAGGTCAGGAACCTGAAAGCTGGAGCTGATGGATGCAGATGCCTTAGAGGGGTGCTGTTTACTGGCTTGACACTTCTGGCTTCCTTGGCCTGCTTACTTATAGACCCCAAGCCCCCCAGCCCAGAAGTGGTGGTGCCACCCATTATGTACTGAGCCCTACCCCATCAGTCACTAATTAAGAAAATACCCTATAGGTTTGCTTACAGCCCCATCTCACATAGTCTGATTTTGTAGAGTCATTTTCTTAATTAAGGTTTCCTCCCCTCAGATGGCTGAGGCTTGTGTCAAAGTGAGATCATCATCATCATCATCATCATCATCATCATCATGATGGCAGGGCAAATGCTACAAAACTTACACGTGTTTGATTGTCATAGTGAAACTCAGACATCCAAGTGAGACACCTTGCTTACTAAGGACCTAGATATAGTCCACTTGGAAATCTCTCTCAGGATTTAGAAATCAGTGCTGAAACATTGTATCACAGTTTTACAGATGTCAAATTTGATCATTTCAGATACTTAAAAGCAACATGTAGTCTTTAGTGGGGGAAAAAAAGAGGTCCATAGAAATAGGACTTAATCTGGACTCTTCTTTTGACTCCAGGGAATGAAGGAGCCTTGTAATTTGCTGCCTCAGTAAGACACTGTGTGTTGCCTTCTGTGTCATTGCTATTTCACTGTCAGAAACAGCTATGAGATTATAGCCTGGAGAGAGAGTGATTGAAGGCCTTTTGTTATTGAACCCCAGCTTACCATGAAAAACAAAAAAGAAAAATATAGAAGAGATAACAAAAATTGCTCAACTGTTGGTGTATTAGTTCAAAGGGAAAATTGATATTTCTCAGTTTGATTTGTTTTCTCATGTTGCTCCTGAAGATCTATAGAAAGAAATAACTTAGATGATGTTGAAGAAAAGTAATTTAAGAAATTGGAACAACATGGTCTGAAGAGTAAAGGGAAGACAGGAAGAAGTATAATTTTTTCAAAATAAATCCTAGTTTTCCATTTTCTTATAGCACCATAGGTTGTGATCCATTGTAACAGCACGATGCTTTCAGAAGCATTAGAAAACAGGCTAGGGTAGATAAGAAAGGCTCTTTAGAGTTGACCTTTGAAAACATTCTTAATGTATCCTTTAGCAATTTCATGCTTGCATATAAATATTTCTATCTTATGCTCCCCCCACCCCATGGAGACTTTCTTCACAACACATTATCTTCTACTTTCAAATCTATTTTTATGACCCACTGAGGTTAACTAGGCTTGCTTACATGTCTGTGAGCCGGGTAGGGACCACTTACCAGAGCATGGTCAACTTGTCAGCTGGTCTTTTGAAAACAATATGAAGAAAAGTACTCATCTCGCTAAATCTTGGCATGAGGAAAACAGCATGTGTTTGTTTCTTTGACCCTTTTACTTGACTTAAATGCCCTACAGGGGAGATCTGTGTAAAAAAGTAAAATCACCACAGGCAGTCAACAGAAGGTAATGAGCAGTCACCCCTGGTAATTAGTTCTTCTAATTATATATTTTCAAACTTTTCTTAAGAAAATTAAAAATACTTGTGAGGTAATAAAATTATAAGTTGAGTGACACGAAGAGTTCGCATGTGAGAGAGTATAGTCAGAGCATGACTTTTACCGTATGCAAATTTAAAGAGGCACATTTCTAGAGCAGAAGCCGAGATATCTCTGTCTCTTCTGTAGACAGTCCTTTACTGTGCCGCCATTTACAGAGTCAGCTGATAATGACTGACAGAATGTGTTGACAAATGACGGTCAAACCCTCTGAGAAAGCATTGGTTGTTTCTGTTTTTAAAACATATATGAAAAAGCACCTTGTCATAAACAGAGTACCTTATGACTGAATTCTTGGGAAGGGTGACAAGAGAACAAGATCATCCTGTCTCTCAGTAATGTCAAGAAAAACTAGGCTCACACAGCAGAAACCCATGAAGTGTTTGGTGAGCCAAAGGCTATAAGAGCCCCCACTTTAGCCGGGCAGTGGTGGCGCACGCCTTTAATCCCAGCACTTGGGAGGCAGAGGCAGGTGGATTTCTGAGTTCGAGGCCAGCCTGGTCTACAGAGTGAGTTCCAGGACAGCCAGGGCTACACAGAGAAACCCTGTCTCGAAAATCAAAAAAAAAAAAAAAAAAAAAGAGCCCCCACTTTATCTTTCAAAAAACATGCCATAATACTTGATAGATAGTTTATGACCAATCTAAGCATCAACTTATATGAGTAGAAATTAAAAAGAATTCTTCAGTTCTGAAAGACATATACATGCTGGGTTTATAATGTTTGATTATTGCTCTATGTGATCTAGTAAGAAAATAATGACCCTACGGCTGGGATGTAACCCACTGTAGAGCTTAGCATGGTTTCAGTCTCCTGCATCCAAGAGAGAAAGGGTGGGTAAGAAGGTCAGGAGACAGGAAAGAAATAAGAGAATGTGGATGCTGTGGAATGCAGCCATAGCTTGTGAGTTATGGTTGTTATTAGAAACAATTTTTAAAGTAAGTACTGAGGCATGGGGGTCATGACTTGAATGTATTACGATGGTTCCTGTATGCTTCCAGCTCAGTTCCTTTGTTGCTGAAATTGTTTCAAGTGAGACAGATGAACCATGCGTCTTTCTCCAGCTACTCGGAGTCCCTCTGTTGAGAAGCCACTTTAGCATTTTCCTGCCTATGCTTTAATTCAGGCCCTAAGCTTGAGGTAGTGGCTGTAAGAAATGCCTAGAGTAAAACAGAATTCTTCAAACAGCTTGTCCCTTATCTCTTCTAGAAAAATTTTTCGAGATGAAGAAAGGTCAATGCAAAGACGCATTAGAAATTTACAAACGGTTTCTAACTAGAATGACTCGAGTATCTGAATTCCTCAAGGTTGCGGAGGTAAGTGATCCAAGCTTTGTGGCTAAGGCAACCAGAACTAGTGTGCAGCATAATGTCTGGTCTGACAGAACATCTAGCACATGTCCAGGATGTGTTAGCATGAGAGGACATCTTACAGTCACTTCTCACACCCCTGCCTCCCTGTTAGATGCACTCAGAAAAAATGTTCATAGGTTATACTGCTGTTCTACAAGTTGGCCCAGTGCCCCGTTCCACCTAATGGCTGTTTTGTTGTTGTTGTTCTATTGTAAGAAAGTTTTGTTTTTGAACCCTACATTTACCTTTTAAAAAAATCTATCCATTGTTTATAAAGTATAAATCATGAATCCTCATCTCCCTTACCCTGTCGATGACTTAAATATAATTAAAAGGCTAAAGTATAAATTATTTTATAAGGATTATACAATGTTTCTTAAGGGTGTTTCTTACACTTAACCATAACAACTGCAAAACACGGTTGGCGTTCTTGAGATTATCTGTAAATTGGAGCTTTTTGTCTCTTACGGAATTCAATACTTGAATCATGCTGGTACTAGAAGTGATGACGTTACTATACCTCTGGTGGGATGGCCAGTGGGTCCTTGTCACACATGTGGACTGACTGATGCTAGAGCCGGGGTGCAGGGTAAGAGGCTCCAGACTCATAGCAAAGCCTGTGACACTGTGGACATGGGACATGGGATGTCTGTGCTTCTTTATTACTAGAAGGATATAATTCCTTGAATTTTTTCTGTTACATGGGTTTATTGTTTATATTTTGTATGACTTTATCCCTTGGTTTAGCCACAGTTATTAGTATAATCTAGTAAAAATCATTGCTCAACTTTTTCTGTGAAAGATCACCTGTGCACAGGCACCCCTCTGAGCAGAAGGTTGCTTTGCTGCCCCATTACCTCCTGGGGCAGGTGCGTCCCAACTCCCCACTTGTTGCTCTAGAGGAGGCAGGAACTGGGCAGTGTGCAGTGTACACACACTTCTCCAAACAGCAAGCAAAGCTGGCCCCAACAGCTTTAGGAGAAAGGCTTGCTGACACAGAGGCTTGCTGACACAGAGGCTTGGTTTTTTACATAAGCTTGTTTTGCATCTCTTCATGCCTCATGTTGACACAAGTCAAATTCGTGCCAGTGAAGAGGAGACACACGGAGCAGGTGTCATTCCAAGAGTCTTTCTTTAAGTCACTGAGTAATAGAAGTGTTTTGTGAACATTTATAAGACTGTTTCTAGAATGAACACTAATTTATGAAACAAAATACTAGAATAAGCATCTAAAGTTCAATGGGATAACTTTAATCATATCTATATAGTTCTCTTTTGTATTTACATAATGACCTTTATCATTGAACATACTAACGGTAGTATAAAATAACAGTTTGGTTATGATCAGTCAATACAAAACGTTCAGAACTTAGTTGTGTCACAGACAGTATTCTTGCATCATATGGGCTCCTACTTAATGGTTAATCTGCAGTTAGAATCGTTTTCCTAAAGAGTCTAAGGAAGGCTTCAGAATGTCATTTTAAACATGTAACTGCGGCTGAGAGGGTATCTCAGTGATAGAGCAGTGTGATTGATATAAGGCTCTCTGTCAGAGTTTTGATATGACGGAAGATAAGCAACAAACTAAGCATTTGTAGTATCTATTTATAAAGCATTAGTGAGCTGTCCAGCACACTGAGTGATCAGACAATTTCTATGGAAGTCCCTAGACTACAGGAGCTGCTTGAAGTATATCTTAGGTTCCTTAATCTACTTAATTTCTTTGAGCCTCAATTTCATTAATAAATGAATTACCATGTAAATTATAGATAAAATAAATTATAAAGTTATACTAAATGTTTACGTTTAGTATTCTAAAAATTAAAAGCAACTTTAATATTAGTTAATAAATGATGCATTAAATAAATTATAAGACAAGGAAGTTCTACACAGTGTTTTTTAAAGGTAGGCTATTCTCTATGCTAACATGGACATACCCCTAAGCTATCCTGTTGAATGAAAAATTAAATCCAATACAAAATATAAAAATAAACAGAAAAAATCAATTATGAAATTGCAGGAAAGTTGACAGACTTGGAGAATTCAATATTATGGAGGTGATGCAAAGTAAACAGAAAAGAGGCACAGGTCCCCTTCCTGTGTGAATCTGGCCCACATTATATATACACATGTAATGCATAAACAGTTGTTAAGTGTGAGTATAATGTAGCACTGGAAGGGAGACCATGAGAAGGTGACATTAGGTGACAGGGGAGGACAGAATGCAGGCAGAGGAACCCACAAGTCATGAAAGAGGATATGAAGCCAGTCGTTGTTGTAGTGTGTATGAGTGTGTGCTGGATACATGAATACAAATTGACAGCGTAAGTGTAAAGCCATAAGCTTGGCTCCACTGCTTCGGAATGGCTGTTCTGACTGTGTACAGGTCCTCCAGGATGTTTTGCTTGGGATCCAGCAAGGGTTAGAGTAGCTTCCTAAAACCAGCTGCTTGATGTTTCAATTTGAGAGTTAATTGGGATAAAATGTTTTTATTTAAAACAAAAAAGAAAAGAAAAATTAAGTCTAGATATTGCTGTTATTGGTGGAAGAAAATGAAATACTTATATTTCAAATTTCCTTGGTTTTATATAAACTTTAGAGCAGTGGTTCTCAACCTTCCTAAGGCTGCGGCCCTTTAATGCAGTTCCTCATGGTGTAGTGTCCCCCAACCATAAAATTACTTTGTTGCTACCTCATAACTATAATTTTGCTACTGTTATAAATCATAATGTAATTATCTGACAAGCAGAATATCTGATATGTAACTCCAAAGGGGTTGTGACCCATAGATTGAGACCCCTGCTCTAGAAGGTGTAAGAAACTGGCAAAGTGGTTCTGCCTGTAAAAGAGGAAACAGTTGCTACACCCTGAACAAAAGATTAAGATAAATAACCATTCCCCAAGGACTCAGTGGGTAGAATCATTTAAATTTTGTTTAAATGGTTTCATAATTTCTTAGCTTCTATTGAATATAAAGGGTACATTTAAAATATATTCTTCAGAATGTTTTCATTTATTTTTAGATTCTAGTAAAATTCTATATACTTGTTATAACTAACTATAATAATATAATGAGATTATTACTTTATTATGATGAATGGGAAATTACATAAAGAGCATACGCTTAAAGTAAGGTGAATATGCAGAGTAATAGTTGCTTTGCACCATGAATAAGCTGTAGTTTTAACAAATCCTATGAGTGATCTTATATTAAATGCCAAAAAAGTCATAAAAACCCAGCAGTAATTTTGTTTTTTCTTTATCCACAGCAAGTTGGTATTGATAAAGGTGACATTCCTGACCTCACGCAGGTAAGTGTCTCAGGAGCCGGCTAGTAGACAAGACACTGATAATTAACAGATTGCCACAAGTAGTCATACTTTGTAGACATTTCATAGATCTTGAGTTTAAACCAACCAATTTTCTAAAAGCATTATTCAATCTGACTTATTTTTTTCTAATTATTATGTTTCTGGATATTAAAGAAGATTTCACTGGCCTTAAGCTGTGACTTCTTTAATGGCAGCTGACCATTCTAACTGGGCTCATTGCTTCCTTATTGAGCTTGAACCAGTAAGAGTTGTGAACATGTCTGTGACAGAGCTTGGGGTCTGAGGAGCTACTTCCAGTCATCAGAGCACACGAGCATTCTGTCCATTCTCCCTGTTCTCTGACTGTGCCCGGTCTGAAGGACACCCACAGGAGGGAGGTCTGAAGGACACCCACAGGAGGGAGGTCTGAAGGACACCCACAGAAGGGAGAAACCCTGGTGATGAGGGTTTGCATCCTCCCCACCCCCATGGAGAGGAGTAATTTCTATATAAACGTGTTTACATAGAGGTGACCGAGGAGTGGTTTTTCTGGGCCCCATGGTTAGAGGACAGTGAGAACTGAGATTACTCATCAGCCACGTCAGGTGCACAGCTCCTGAGGAGGAAGACAGACGCAGACGCTGAGGTATAAATGGTCTTCGGTATGATTGATTGACAAGAACTGGTGGGTTTTAAACATCCCTTGATGATAAAATTTCAGTCTCACACATGTCCTTTTACTAGAAGCAGCACTGAGGGGATGGCCAGAGGGTGCAGAGCTGTTCTCTTACACTTAAATAATGCATATTGTATATTATTAATTTTCCATCTTTATAATTTTTTGAAATATTTTCATACTTGAAATAATATGTAAATATGACTAAAAATTTGGAGGAAAGTTGATAGTAAAGGCTTTCTCTTTTTATATTAATAAAGTATAAAATATCAAGAATTCATACAAGTAAAATGTATTGAATAATTCAGAACATGATAGCAGTATATTCTTTAGTTTAATGGACACCACTCATAGGTAAAATATTAGTTAAAAATATCTCTACTCCATGTAGTGTTATCTATTGAAGTATATACCTGAATAGGATGTTGGGTTTTAACTATTAAATATGCAAAAAATATTATTTCAAACTCTCTTTGTTGAGGTAAGTTTATCTTTGTAGCATCATAAGAAAATGGATGTTTTTATATTTTTCATCTATAGACTACACTGCGTTTTTTTCTAAGTGTTCCAAATATATAATGCATGTTTTTAAAGGGACATTACATAGTTATCTCAATGAGTAACTTTTAGAAACGGTCAATTTTCTTTTATACTATAGACAACCCTCACTGTGGGATAAATACAAACCAACTATTTAGTTCAGGGGAGCCTGGCAGGTAAGAACAGGCCTTCACCTGTCTCCCTTTGGGTAGTCTAGACTTATGAGAGAGTCAAGGGACCATATAAATACCTTGTTGGTTTTCAGTTTTGAAAATGATAGCAGATCATTGAAGGAAGGGGCACATACTTGGGTTTCATTTTTAATGATGCCATAATATTCATTGCAGCTTATGTCATTGCTCAAGAAGTCTATAGACATACTTAATGATGTCCACTTATGTGCCAGGACTTGGGAAACCTAGTAGAAGGCTGTTCTATGATAGTCATTAAAATCCTGAACATTCTATCCTGTTTTTCTTGTGAGCTAAAGAGCAGCATAAAACTTCAATATTAGTATTTATTTTTAAATTACCACCCCATAAAAACTCCTCTAACTAAATTCTATATGCACTTAAATTCCAATATGAGAATATGGCATGCTTCTGGAATGTCTTAATTGGTAGCTTGATTGTGTTTTCTTTGTGGTTGTGAGCTACGTATTTTCTCTGTGACTGTGAGACATATGCACCAACTCCCTAAACTCTCCTCTATCAGAGCCCCTTTCTCCAGGCTGAGGGGAGTCTCTCACTGAGCTGGGACTTAGGGACCCCTAGTCCTCTCACAGTACAGTCAGGCTTCAGCAGGAATGTGAAACTTCTGAAGTTTAGCCCTTCAGAGAGGATTAAATCAGGGTTAGTCTCGAGGTGGCTCTGCAGTACAAGGTTTATGGACCCATCATGATTCCTGTGAGACGAAGGTCTGCTCTCCACCAGGCTTCAACATGGCTTCTATGGCACTCCTCCATCTACCACAGAAATGAACCAAAATGTCTATCTGAAAAGAATTAAATAGGGGCTGGAGAGATGGCTCAGGATTAAGAGTGCTGGCTGCTCTTACAGAAGACCTAGGTTTGTTTCCCAACACCCAAGTCAAACAGCTCAAAAGGGCCTGTAACTCCAGCCCTAAGGGATCCAGCACCATCATCTGTCTTCTGTGCGTACTGTACTAATGAGCAAACGCACTCATCATCTTTTCTTTTTTATTGAAAATAAAATTTTTCATACCATATAGTCTGGTCACTCATTATCTTTTCTTTTTTATTGAAAATAAATTTTTTCATACCATATAGTCTGGTCATGGTTTTCCCTTCCCTAACTCCTCTTGGATAATCTCTACCTCCCACCCACCTAAATCTCACACCTTCTTTCTCTCTGTCTTTAGAAAACAAACAAAACCATAGTAAAGAAAAAGCATACAAAACAAACACCAAAAATAAACCTCATAGAAACATAAAATCAGAAATCAAAATATACAAAAAAAAAGACCAATAAGGTTAAAAAAAAAAAAGCCAAAACATGAGACAAAAGAAAATCTACAAAAATACCTTTGAGTTCATTTTGTGTTGTCTATCTACTGCTGGGTGTGTGGTTAATATACTAGTGAGGCTCCGTTGGAGAAAACCAATTTTTCCTTTGCAAAATTAATTAATTAATTAATTTTAAAAGATGATGGTGACTAGAAGGAACTCCTATTGAACTTAGAATAAAATTTCTAAAGATTAAAATTTCTATTACAGAAAAAAAATGAAGATAGGAATTTAGCACACATCTCCACTTGAGAGTGTGGACCATAGACAACACCTGTGCATGTAGTGAAACCACATAAATGATTAGTGAAGATCAATGACATTTTCAGATGATATTTAAAGCACTGTTTTGAAGAGTAAGAGAATATGATCCCCAGATCAAATATTTCTTCTCAGCACTAGGAGTGGTTTCTGAGATCTAATCCAAAATCGGAATTACCATTGTATTTTTTAAAAACTTGATTTTATGGGTTGTAACATATAAATGATAGGTGGATGCATTTTTTCTTTACTCTGGGTATCACCATAAGCTATGAATTTATTTCAAAACATAACTCTCATAACAGTATTTCCTGTTTGGAGTGTGTGGGTTCCAAATTTTAAACTCCATTTATGAAAAGCTCTTAGGTATTCTGTAAGTGCCTGCTTTGAAGTTCAGGTGTCACTGTACCACCAACAGTGAAGAGGACATGCATTTTATGCTCCTGGACATTCCTATCAAAGGATGTCTCTCTTGGAACTTCACATGTCCTTATGAAAGCTATAAATGTTAAGGCATTTTTTTGAAATCCTCTAGAATTAAAGGCTCAACTGAATTACATGTAGTGTGTTGCTCAGTAACTCCTCCGGATCAAGTCAGCCTCTTGATAGGTAACTTTTTCAGCTGATGTCATCTCTACTGCAGTGTCTAGTTTTTCAGTTATTAAATAAAGAATGGCCCAGCAGGCATGGTGGCACACATCTTCAGTCCCAGTACGGAAGAGGCAGAGACAGGTGGATCTCTGTGAGTTTGAGGCCAGCCAGGGCTACATAGTAAGATCTTGTCTCCAAAAAGATTGTGAGGAACAGAAATGTCCCAGGAAGAATGGAATCACAAGCAATCTTGCTGATGTTTTGTCTAATTTCAGCAGTGACAGGCCAGACACTGAGAGTCCTGTGAGCCTTTGCTGTCTCATGCTTCCTTCTACATTTTTATTATAAATTGTGTTTGTGCTTCTTGAGCTCAGAAAAAAATCATATATTATTTGTAGTACATTTCACATGTAGAGAACATGGACTTATGACTAAAGAGAGACTCCATGACTTGATATGTGTTTCCCACCATAATTTATATGAAATCAATGTAAGTCTGTTCTCATGCCTCTTTGGCCACCTTCACCATCATCCATAACACACACGCACACACACACACACACACACACACACACACACACACACACACACACATTTATCATGAGACATGAGAAGAATGACCAAGAAGTTAGCAGATAAAAATTTATGAAGGCTTAAGTCAGTTATATTTTCTGTTTAAAGTTACAATGCATGTTTATCTAGTGATATTTCTTTGAAATATAGAATCTAATATACAAAACAAAATTTCAGTTAACTACTTTAAAATTCATTTTTTGAAACTTAGTAAGTTTATTTTCAGCCAGAGTTTGCTGTCTTCACCTGAGCTGTATTTGACGTTCTAATTTGCATCATTTTCTGAACATAGTAGACATCTTGACAACTTTTTCACTCTAAAGTGTGTTAGATAGAGCTAGTAGAGGTGTCTGTTGCTATCCTACTTTGGTAATTTGGATCAAGTCAATATGTTTATACATTTAGTGATTTTTATATATAGTTGCAATTTTATACTTAATTCACATTTATAATTATGTAATTATAATAATCTCATAAATGTTGAAAGTTTGAGTCTATTTTAAAAATTAAAATTAATATTAAATAAATACCTAAATGTACAAAATTTTTAAAACTGTAATAAGCATCTGATTTAATGTTGTTAAGTGTGGGTAAAATATAGAATTATATGAATTTCTTGTAATTTTGTTTGTACTCTAACAGTTAGCATGGTTAGCGCGAAGTCTTTCAAATTTAATTTCCCATTAAAAAACAAATACCTGAATTTACCTATAAATGTATGCAGATGTTTCACCACTAACTGCTTTTCTCTGAATCTCTACTGTTGAGGTCTAGTTTGCATTAAGAGAAAAAGCAAGTTCAGTTTCCACTGCTTGAAGAATAGATTGGGCAAATATTTGTAGAAACCATTACGGCCCCTTTGAATGTACAATAGAATACCATTTTTATTGCCTGAAATTTTATAGAAACATTGAATTTTTAAGGATTGAAATATATCAAATCTATTTCATAATATAAAATTTTATTATATTGGTGGGTTACTTCATTATATATAAATTAAATACTAAATAATTGGAAAAGCTTAATTGCTCATCTGTATTAAGGTAACTTTCTTATTGCCACTTAACTCTTTAAGTTGTATTGATAATACTTCCTAATATTTCAACCAGGCATGCATAAATGAATTTTTACTGTACTTTCAAATTTCTACAAATTTATATTTGGGCACATATGTTTTGGATTGGATGCAAATAAGTACGTATTTCTTTTTCACTGTGGTTCTGTGTGAAGTAGTAGTGAACTTGACCTTAGTCCTTAGTAGACACCTGTCTGATGCAGGAAACACCCTTACTGAAACCATGTTGTAACATCATTGGGTGTGTAGTGGAGGTGAGTCTATTTAAGATGGGCCTATCTGAGATGCCACAGAATTTAAATATCTAAATGCCAAAGGACATAGGATGAAATCACCTCAGGCATGGTGCTAACATGAACTTCTGCCACACAGGGTTACAGTGATGTTAAAGTGTGCTTGGTTTGAGAGAGAACAACACAGACATTTGTTTTTATTTCTTATTGTAGGCTCCCAGCAGTCTTATGGAGACCCTTGAACAACATCTAAATACCTTAGAAGGAAAGAAACCTGGAAACAAGTATGCATTGCTTGTATATTGTAAATAAGATGAAAAACACCAAGTGGTTCTTTATGAGAATGAGATTTCTCAAGGGTAACTTACTCCAAGACAGATTCAGTATGTGCTTAGCTGCCAGTCTCTTGGGTTCCCTCAGAAACCTCTACCCTACCTTCTAGCACATGACACCTGACCTGTATAGGCTGCCTGCCTGCAGGAAATATCATAGAAGGATCTATGGTTCGCAGCAGGTTGACTGGACCTGCTGGTTTACAGATATGTCTTTAGAAGTTATACTTTAAGAGTTGGGGAAAGGACTGAGGGCCCTGAAGGGGATAGGAACTCCACAGGAAAACCAACAGAGTCAATTAATGTGGACCCTTGGGGGCTCTCAGAGACTGAACCACCAACCTAAGAGCAGACACAGGCTGGACCTTGGTCCCCTGCACATATGTAGCGGATGTGCTGCTTGGTCTTCATGTAGATCCCAGACAACGGAAGCGGGAGCTATCCCTAAAGCTGTTGCTTGTCTGTGGAACCCATTCCCCTAACTTGTCTGTCTTGTCTGGCCTCAGTGGGAGAAGTGTCTAGCCCTGCAGTAGGGGGTGTCCAGGGGCCTCCCCACTCTCTCAGAGGAGAAGGAGAAGAGAATGGGAGGAGGGACTGTGAGAAGGGGTGACCAGGAGGGGGAACAATGATCGGGATGTAAAGTGAATAAATAAATTGTTTTTAAAAATGTTACTCTTTAAAAATTAAAGCTATTGGGATTGGATGTGACTCAGACAAGCAGAGTTTCACAAGCATCCTTGAATACCAAGATGTCCCAACTGCAGTATGAGAAAAGAAAGGCTTTCGAGTGTAGTTTCCAGGGACACACCTCCTCATTATCCTTAGGCACACCATGCTGCTAACATTACTCCAGAATCATCCTATAGAGGGAGTAGCAAGCAGTGATTCACGCAGCTTTTGCTTGCTATGCTCCCTTTGTGCTTAGCTACTTAGTCATAGACTGTTTTCTTCATTGTAAATACTTCCCAGGTTCCTTTTTTTCTCCACCTCTGTAACAGATATGAAATTGTCTGTATTTTCCGGCATTTGTTCCTTGTTTCCACTATATTTCTTTAGCCTTGGAGCCTCCCTCTTCCCAGTTATGTAGAACCTGTGCCTCCTGGAAGGACCTTTTGCAAGGCCACCTCCTTATGAAACCTTCCTTTTCTTAGTCGTGAGCTTGCTTGTACTGTGGCTGTTTATCCACATGTGTAATCCCATGAGAGTTCTTGATTCTAAATGTAGGGACTGTTTCTTACCCTATTATCTGAACACTCAGCGCAGGGCCCATTATAAAGTCAGCTTTCAGTTGGTCATTACTGGTCTCCGCTTCAGATGGCGTTCACTTAACTCATCAGATAGCGCAGGAGCAGATCATTGCAGGGCTACAGGCTGGACACAGGTTTGCATTTGATTGATGGGTTGGTTTGGTTTTTACCAATGGCAGAGCTGTGAAAATTTGACTCTCTTACAATCTCTCTCTGGGCATTCTCGAAGAACCTACTATGTCTTGATGCTACATTTTGTAGTTATTTTATCTGCTACGTGCTGTTTCTTTTTTTTTCCCCCCTCAAGTTAGTTTAGTATAGTTTTATATATAGATATTGTATTGTTCTACATTTTCAGTAGGGGAGATTTTCAGACACTTCTGGCTGCACACCTCAGCTGTGGATGACATGACCTCTCTGGGTTGTTTTAAGGCCAAGCTGTGCTCCAGTATAGCTGTGATTGAATGGCTTTTGATGTAAGATTACCACATAACAATCTAAACCGCTCACTCTCAGGAATAGCTGGGGCCACCCTCTGTTGGCCCTGCTCCAGTAGTGAAGGGCTTTGCATATGCACGTTCTCTTCCTGTTGAGAGCTGCATGTGTGCTGTAAGCTGCTTCTCCATGCCTCTGCTTTCTCGGGCTGAGCACTGCCAAGCTCCCAGCCTTCCTTAAAGCTTCCAGTGCATTCTTCACCAGCTCCTTCTTCCCCATCTTCAGGTTCCTTAGCCATCCTTTGACTCTGAACTTGCCCTTGTGTGCCCACTGAGGGCTACCTGAGGAAAATTACCAGTAGGCATTTTTAGAAATAGGGACTAAAACTCCATAGTCCATAGTCGAATTCACTCAACTTAGAATAACTTTCTCCAGCGCCTTTTAAAGCACTTAATGTTTGTCAGATTCTTTTCATTAATTGGCTGAAATCACATTTTGATTTGTCTTCTGCTTATTCTGGTTTTAAGAAAAAGCAAGCTTTAATAGTTAACTCATTTCTTCTCTGTATGTTTGCGCTTACATGGGAACTTAAGTGAAGGGTGAGTACCACGCTAAGTTACTGTTTTTGCATTTGGTAATTACTAAAAAATGCAAACAAAAACCACCTGGTATTCCATATGTGGTATTTGGAATTTTGAAAATTAATTAGTATCTGTTAGTGTCCTCCTCGTACGTCTATGTTTCTATTATGTATTCTTTTTTTTTCTCTCAAGGTGACTGGCAAGGATGGTTTTGCTTTCTTTGGGTCTTGTTGGATCATAATTAACAGTATCTCCTAGGTGTATAAATAACCCTCTTAACTTTTAGGAAAGGTATTTTCATTGGTAAATAAAAGATTTTTCTCCTGGTACACTGCAGAAGGCCAGGGCAGTTTTGAAAGGAGTGTAAATGGTGTGAAGATATTTTCTTCACCATTCTGCAGCAATACAAAACCATTCTAACACTGTGACAATGTATGTGCATTTGCCAATGTCTGCTATGATAATCAGAAACCAGGCAGTGCTGGTGCACACCTTTAGTCCCAGGACTCTGGAGGCAGAGGCAGGCAGATCTCGTGAGCTCAAACTCAGCATGGTCTGCAGAGCAATTTCCTGGACTGCACAGAACCCTGACTTAAAACACAGAAGAAAGCAAAAAGGCTGCTATGGTAGACACAAGTTTGCTGTTAGTGCTTCTCATTCACTGACATGCATTGAATGAATGCGATGCTGTGTGACACGCCTTTGTATATTCTCTCAAAGAGTGAAATCAATGTTATTCCCATTTGGTATACTAAGTGTTGAGCTGAGCATGTAGGAAAGAGTCAGTAGGAACAGAGGTCACTCGTGTTGCCAGCTTAGTTCCACTAAGCCACTGAGCTATCTTGTTGGGCCAAAGACAATTTCATAAGACTTTTGGCTCACTGGTGACTATAGAATAAGCACATAAATACATTCTTAAACTTTTAAATAATAACAGCCAAAATGTCAGATGCTGTATAACATGCTCAGGGAATAAAACATCAGGATGTCGTCTTTTACCTCAAGAACTTAGCATCCAGTGATGAAGATGGGTAAGGAGAGACAGTTTGACTGATACAGCGGGTGTCCTGTCGGCTCAGGAGAGACAGCCCATTCTCTGCTTGTCTGTTTAATCCATGGGGTTGCTACAGGCATCACTAGTAAGAATGCCTTGTGGGATTTAAATGCAAAGGATGATGGTACCAATTACGATTTTCTTTCACACCGCTTGAAATTGAGTTATTTAACAGCAGAGGGCAGTATTGTGTCAGTTTTTGTTGTACTTGCTGTGAGGTAGGAAGCTGTTACCAGTATCCATATATTGGCTAGTAAATATTTCAGTTGCTTTTTTTTCCCCCAGTACTTTAAAGAATTGGCTCATGAAACTTGACTGAGAGAAAAAGAAATTCATTCTCAGAAAGTGACCATGTCAAAGGGTGCTTGTGGTTTCTTTGTTTTTGCTAAGAAAACATTGTTTTAGGTTTTGGGTTTTTTTTTAAGGTTTTAATTTTTCTCCTTTTTATTTAATTTTTTCATATGATATATTTAATTTCTTTCCATTTCCATAAGTATGAAGGAAGTTATATAAGTGGAAAATTATCCAGAAATTCATGAGATTTTAACCTTATGGTATCCTAGATTCTTTGGTTCCTAAATCCCTTTCTGTAGATGCAAAACCAGAATCACTTCACTTTAGCAGAGCCTTTGAATTGGGGCATTATGGGCATGCAGGAGAAGCTAGCACACAGTGTCTATGAATAGGTGGAATTTGCATAGTGTTGGACAAAATCCTAGCCACTAACCTTAGTATTTGCTCTGAGCTGAGGGACAGCCAACCTTACAGCTGACCTGACTACAGCTACCATTGGGGCGTGTTGCTTCATTTTGTCTTGTTCATTTTATGGTCCCCCAGATCAGAAAAGCATGAGCCGCATAGGCAGATGTTTCAAACATGTCACTGTCTCCGGCATGTGCTAGAATCAGTGTTAACTATAAAGACTGTTTAGTTCCTTAATCAGAACTAAGCACCAACATTGCTCTTCTCCAGCCTCCCACTGGTTACGACAAAAGCATGGGAACATTTTTCTCTAAAGCGTTTCCATTACAGGCATGAAAATAGCACACAAGCAGGAGTGTGACTGCACACGTATCTGGTTCTTTCACGCAGCTCACGGGGATCTTGTCCATTTTTTCTCTAGGGTTCTTTCTTTAATGCATAACAGTTGAAATTAAGTGAACTGCAATATATGATTCTGGTTTTCTGAGCTTTCTAACTTTTGAAATAATAAACAAGTATCAGCTTATGTAGTGTGCCTATTCATAAACCTTGGGTAAGTTTTAGACATTGAAAATTGAACAGTGGTTTTTGGTGGACATAAGTAATAATACTCAAGAGAATATAATTTTGAATTTAAGAATGTCCATAAGAGATTGTAAGTCAGTGGAAATATTGGGAAAAGGACATCACTGAGCAAAAGGCAAGCATTATAAGCTCCTCTGTGACTGTAAAGAATTCCATGAAACTCATCCAATGCCGGGTGAAGTCAGGCACACTCACATTTGATCTTCCTGTATTTCTTTTAGATCTGGTGCTCCCTCTCCATTAAGTAAGGTAAGTTGGGTTGTTTTTCGATTATTCTCTTTTTATATGTAGTATTTTTCACTGTAAAACTCAAAGCACCAAGTGTATTTATTCTGCAATACAGCAGTCATACCATAACACACTCTCAGGTTTTTTCTCACCTTCCAGAAATGAAAGTCCAGAGTCTTGAAACAGTAATGCCCATGCCTCCTGACCTCAGTCCCTGGAAACCACTGTCCTTTCTACATCTAGAAATGGGATACCTCATCCAAGTAGATCCAGACAGTCTGTCCTTTCATAAGTTATTTATTTTGCTTAGTTCTTAATGTCTTCAGGGATCAGTAACAGCTTCAAAACCATTTTTCTTTTTAAGGTTGAATAACGGACTTTTATACACATGCACGTACACACTACCAGTTTGCTCATTTTTTTCTCCAATGGGTATTTAAGTGACTTCCAGATTGTCAATATGACAGACAGTACTGATATAACTCTAGTGTGAAATGTCTGATTGAGGACTGGAGAGATAGCTCAGTGGTTAAGAGCAATCACTGCTCTTGCAGAAGACCCAGGATCGGTTTCCAACACCCACCCTGAGCAGCTCACGTCTTCCTGTAATTCCAGTTGAGAAGGAATCTGACGCCCCTCTCTGTCCTTTATAGACACTGAATACACATGAGACCATTAGACAATTGGGAACACACACATACTCACAAATAAAAATATTTTTAAAAATATGTGTAAAAAAGAAATATCTGCTTGAGAGTCCACCTTTAATTTGCTTAGGGTTATGCATCTGGGAGTAAAATGGATGGATCACTTGATTTACATTTTTGAGAAAACATTAAGTTATTTTTATATGTGATTTGAACCCTTTTCTCTTAGAACCCCAGTTCTTAAAAAAATCTTAAACAGATTTTTTTCTGTACTTATGTGACAGCTGAAACCGTACATATCTGTATAATGTTTGATAATTAAAAACTGTTTTCACATATTGTACCTCTGTGATATACGTCAGCACAGGGTGCTGTGTGTATTTTCATGATACAGGGAGAAAATGTTACTAGGGGCCTTTGTCCCGAGCACACCTGCTAAAGTATTCTTAGTAATTCCTTCAGCCATCAGTCTTTCTGAGCCAGTGAAGGAGCAGGGTTAGGCTTTTCCAAGAGCCTATGCTCGCACGGGCCTGCACTTCACATCTGCCGTTGCATTTGTAGGCAGAGGTGTAATAGATGTACTTTTCTTTGACAGATTCCTATTATGTAATTGCTGCCATTACAGACTCTCAGGGATGTCATTATGACTGTGACAGTGATTCCCAAATGCCATTTGTTCTGCCTGTGGCTGTCTGGCTGTTTAAATTCTCACAGGGCCTGAAAAAAAAATTAAGCAGAAATCTTTTCAATTTTTCTGATGCAAAGACAAGCCATTAAAACCATGTTGCCTGTGTGAAACTTTTCAGCTTATGACTCTTTAGTGTGCCCGAATCAGGGCTTCCTATAGGACAGTCTCAGTTTGTTACTGCTGTATTTTTTGTGTTCACCCATTACATTAGAGGTTCTTGGTACAAGGCATTTGTTGCAGGCAAATTGGTATTGGTAGTATATTTGGTGTCTGTATGTTCTCCCTGCTACTTTATGTAAATAAACTTTTATGTTTATTTACAAGTCTGATTTAAAAATTGAAAGCTTTTTTTGCTTGTTTTTGTGTTTGTTCTTAGAGCAGTCAGTGTCCAGCATAGAGAATTATATCTCTAACTGTATAGCTAGTGTCTTCCGATTCCCTGTTGTGCTCCACTGGGAAGCCTTAACCTTTTTGTCACACAGGGAGAATTCATTTGTGACTTTCCCAGTAACAATAGCTACACTGCCCCTGTGTTTATCTCTTCAAGGTGCTCAACACTTGGCAGCTACATATCTATTGAACTTTGATAGCATTATATATTTTGTAGCACAAGTGAATCCTGTATATTCTTACAATCGCAGAATTTCCCATAACTTTCTTGTCAATCCTTTGTTTTAAAGTCCTTTATGACTTTTTAAATCTGTTGTATGTGAACTTGTGACAGAGAGCCTCTGCTTATTCCTGGCTCCATGCATTTTATTTCCTGGAAAATTAAATACACCAGATAAAGTAGAATTAGAATAGTAGTAGTGACCACAGAATTTTAATTTTCTAATACATAAACTGTTAATACCTCTTTAAAATTTATAGGAAAGAAGATATTTGTGTGTGCATGTGTGTACATGTATTTTGAAAGCTAGGGTTGATATCAGGTAATGTTTTCATTCTAGGCCCACTTTACCTTTTTGAGACAAAAATCTCTCAGACATCACTGATGTGGTATTTAGGGCTCCACCTATCTCTGCCCCCACACCCCAGTGCTGGGATTACTATAGCACCTGGCTTTGTATATAGGTGTTTGAGGACAGAACTCGGGTCCCCATGTTTGCATAGCAAGCACTTTAGCAACTGAACCATCTTCTCAACCCAAAGATTTTATTCCACTTTAAAATCGTTATTTCACAGTATAATGAAATGTAGTCATATCCTCAGTTTGCAGCAACTGGAATATTACTTGTGAATTATTCCCCACCAGCTATGAAGTATTTAAGATAAATAAGTTAAATGTCCAGATGTTGAAGTTGTCTGAGAAGATATGAAGTATATTTAGGTTGAGAGGGAAAAAAATATTGGTTTTATAGCAGTTGTCACCATAATTTTGATACCTACTGTCCTTACAATTTTAAGTTTAGGAAATATGTTTGGCTTTATTTTTAAATGTACAACTAGGAGTCACTCTAATGTTAGACCACATATTTTAGCAAAAATGTATATGTTACATTTAACTGTTCAAGCTCGGGGTGCATGTTGGGCCATGGTGATTATTATAGTTCTTGATTTCAATTTCTCTTGAGCTTTTCCTCCTGTGAGGAGTTGCAGAATAACTGTTTGGAAGGTCATGGGTCTGCAGGCCAGAGCCCCGCTGCTCAGTGAGATCTGGATGTGTTTTTGATGTGCCTGTGCTGTGATCTTCACTTTCAGTCTTCTCCAGCTACAACTGTTACATCTCCTAATTCTACACCAGCTAAAACTATCGATACATCCCCGCCAGTTGACATATTTGCAACAGCATCCGCGGCTGCTCCAGTCAGGTCAGTTAACGAGTATGTAGCCAACCTCATTAGTATTTTGATCACTTTTTGTTGTATTTTTATGTACCGTACTGACACTAAATAGTTTCACCCGATGAAGTCCAGTCCTGATACTATGTGACTTAGGGTTATTTTCACAGTGTAGAACGAGTTCTTTTGGGCTCTTAATTAAGCTTCTACCTCTTAAATCCTTGGGGAGACTTATGCTGTCACTTGTAAATTTAGGGAAATATCCAGAAGAAAGACTCATATACTGCAAGTCCTTCTAGGGTTAGATGATATGTAAAGTGTCTGATAAAATCTATTCTTCCTGTGAGAAACGTAAAAGGTGTTTTAGAGTGCTTCAAAACCCTTAACAGGTAGCAGAAGCCTGTAGCTCCAGCACACAGAAATCTGAGTTAGGGAGATCATGAGTTCAGAGCCAGACTAGACTCTATAACAAGTTAGGAGCCAGACTGGGCTATGTGATAAAACCCTGTCAGTTGAGTAAACCTCACAGTTACAGACTGATTGGTTGGTCATGGAATGAACTCTACTAAAGGGATAGGAAGAGACCAATGGAATGTTCCTAACCAACTCGGATCCACCTGTCTGCCCATAACAGGGAAAACAGGAATGTCTGAGATCTCGAAACTCCCCCAAATGAGTCACCAACCCAGAAAGGCTTCCACTAATAATATTTTTGGGTCAGATCTTTCTTTCACCATGAGAGATTCTAGCCTCATTTTAGAGTGTCTGGGACTCCTTTATGAACACAGTCTATGGAAAGACTTCATGTTTTTTAGAGGTTTCCACTTTAAGCAGCTATGAATATACATATCACTCCCATGTTTACTGTGCGCTACACTTGCTTGCTTCTGCTTCTTATATGTTGGCAAAACCAAGTGCTTTCTGCTGACACACCAAAATTGTTTCTTATGAAAAGTTTGATTAAGCTCTTATTACTTATAATGGTTTTTATTTGTGTGGTGCTAGGGTCAAACCCTGGACCCACATATGCCCTCAAGTCAGCTCTTAGTGACAAATCCATTTCCCTTTTCTGTTATTTAGTGTAGCTGTGTTTACATCTTTACTGAAGCAAAGCCTTCAGAGGTTGGAAACATCGGACTCCTTTCTTCAACAGAATATTGCTTAGCCATCCATCATGTATAAGAGAATAAAGATAAAGTCTGAAGTCAGACTGGGAGCCTGAGCCTCTGAGGGCTAGAGAGCTTATAGTCAGTACTTCTCAGATCTCAGATCTAAGTGTAGCTGGAAATCATAGGAGAGCTCCTTAAAATAAAGATCCTGATGATGTTACAGTGGGATACACCTGAAAAGTTTCACTATGACTACGATTCCAGGACACTCAGCATTTTGAGCCCACGCTTTGAACAGTAAAACTTAAGCTTATTTGGAAGGTGAGCCTGCTGAGAGGCAAATGACATATTATCATCTAGTTTGGAAAAAAATAAATAAATTAGCTTTTATTCCTTTTAATATTATTTGGTTTGTGGATTCTTAGAACAGGTTTTTTCTGTATTAGGAAAAAAAATACCTTCAAGGTTATGTTTTTTTGGTGTCCTGTGGGATTTTACCTAGCTCATCACCTATTTTTGTAAATAAAGTTTTATTGAGATGGAGTGTGAAGGTTTGTTTCTATCTTCTGTATTGTCAGTGGCTTACCTCTGCTATAATGGCAGAGCAGAGGAGTGACAGAGACCACCTGCCCCTCAAAACCCAACCATCCATTTCTTTACAGTGATTCCTTGACTTTGTGTATACTACACAAATCTTTGATTTCTGCACACGTCTTTGTTGTAAAACCCTTTGCATTGTAATATTTCAGAGTCTGATTTTGAAGCCTGCTTTCCTTCCAGCTCTGCTAAGCCATCGAGTGATCTCCTTGATCTTCAGCCAGACTTCTCTGGAGCGGCAGCGGGGGCAGCAGCACCTGTACCGCCACCTACAGGGGGAGCCACTGCGTGGGGAGGTGAGTGAGCCTAACAGGCCTGTGAATTGTGGGCCATTTTCTGTGGCTGTTTTCATTTGGGCTGTAATTACAGTCTTTGTGTTCTGGTCATCAACAATGCTATTAGAAACTTGGTGGGAAACTTGCTCAGGATGGCGTCCGCTGATCAAAATACATATCGTGAAGGACACAGAAATTCCACATAATACAGTTTAAAAGTTCAAATAGCCATATACGATCTAAAGTTGAAACAAAAGAAGTATATTTTTGTGATTCTAAAATCTACAGATACCTTAGGTTAATCCCTTCCAGGAATTTACCAGGTTACTCTAAGAAGCACTAACAATTTGGTTTAGTCAAATATAGTGCCTAGGTTGTAATGTTGTTCACATTTTATCTGACTTTCTAAAACTGAAAAAGGGGCTCTCCTACACTGGTTGGCTGAAAGAAAACACAGCTAAGCATTTCAGTTCCAATTGCTTCACAGGCCTCAGACAAACCTCATAAATGTTTGATCAGAAACATTTACGACAAAGTAAAATTAAAGTGATTTCTTAATGATTCTCAAAGAGTCATCTGTAGTGCTATGCTCTGCAAGAGCAGATTATCCTTTAACATTTCAGAGTTTAAGGTATGACACAACTCGGAAAGCGACATGGTGGAAAACTTGGTAATTCAAAGGAGAAAAACTGTTAGACGATAATGCTGGCTTGGGTGTTTGATGAACCAGAATTAACTGATATTTGTACAGGCATGTTAGGCTAAGGTGACTAGGCTCCATAGAAAGCCGCTGGTATCCTTTCAGGCAAGAAAACTCATGCCCTTTAGGTTACTTTTCCTCCCAGGCAGAAAATATTTCTACTACTGTGAGACAAGATCTGTAATTTAATACAACATTTTGGAAGCAGTGTCCTTAATTAACAGTAAGGAACACAGTCAAATGAAGGTACGTTGCTCTAGATAATTAAATAGTCTCTGAGTGAACTTATTATAAGCACATTAGTGTAATGGAAGAAGTGCATCCTGGTTGGAAGATTTCTCTTTAGGAGTATGAGGGCTGTGGTACATTCGCTATGTTATTGCAAAGCCCATGACCAGAAATCCTAACCATCATGACTGCACAGTGGAGAGTCTCAGTGGAGGATTCTGTCTGAGTAGCGGCAGTGTGTGTGGGTCAAGTGGCAGAACTCAGACAATGAGACAGGAAGGGGCTCCTGGTTCCGCTACTGGCACTTATCCACTCCTTCCTGAGTCTGCCCATCCTTGAGTCTTTGTAAATCTCTTCATTTCATTACTCAGGTGTTTGGTAACAAAAGTAACAGAAAGATAGCAGCTCAGAATGTGAACATTGCAACCATGTAGACATTCTCCAGAGTCAATTGTTAGGGCTACAGCTATTAAATGTTTACATAAGTTTGCTCCTTAAACACTAACTTTATTGCCTTTCAATTGAGAAGGCAGACTGTTGCTGGAGAGCCTGCGTAAGGACTTCCTTCCTGAGGGCACCCAAGTTTGCTTCGTTAATGATCCTTTATATTCACATAACATACAGTGTGTTCCTGTTTGATAATTTTTCAGATCCATACCCTCAACTCAAATTTTCTCAGCCATGAGATTCATAAAAACTTTAATAATAAAATGTTTATAATTAGAACATTAATTTTAGTTGTAAGTTCATTGGGTTGTATAAAAAAAGACTTGGATATTATGTGAATGTGTTACTTTTAATTCTGTCATGCGTTTAAGTCATTATGTGTTCATACTTTAATTCTGTTCTTTGACAATTTCATACATATATATATAATATGTTCCGATAATTTATAATATGTCCCACCCCTAAGTTCATTTTTACCTCCTCCCCATATGTCTTAGTTTGCTTTTATTGCTGTGATAAAACATTGGGACCAAAAGCGACTTGGGGAGGAAAGTCAAGTCAGTAATTCAAGGCAGGAACCTGGACGCAGGAAGCCATAGAAGAACACTGCTTGCTGGCTTGGTCCTCTTGCTTTCTTAGATCAGCCAGGACTACTCTGCCTCCCACATCAATCACTGATCAAGAAAATGTCTATATGTGTGCCTATAGCCCAATCTGATGGAGGCATTTTCTCAAGTGAGGTCCCCTCTTCCAGGATAGCCCTAGTTTGTGTCAAGGCGGTGAAAGCACTAACTAGCACAGCATTCCTGTTGGTGACTCCGTATCCCAACCAGTCCTTTCCCAAATTCATGACTGGTTTTGTTTTGTGACTCATGTAGTTTAATCGGTGCCATCTGATTTGGAACTACGCATTGGAGTCCGTTGAGGTCACATGAGGGTACACTACTGAAGGCAATGACTTCCATCTTCCATATCTATCAGTAGCAAACAGCTCAGCGTTGAGGAGTAGGGAGGCTGAGCCCGTCCTCCAGTGCCTCACTGTTGGGAGATTTAGTCTTATAAGGATACAGTACAGGCATTCACAGCTGCTGCAGAGCTTGTGGGCGCAGAGGCTTACTGTTGCCTGGTGACATCATTTCAAAACCCTTCTCTCTAACTGCTAGCCTTTCCATTCTTTTCACCCTCTTTCCCACAGTGTTCCCAAAGTCTTAAAGGGGACAGAGAAAGTACTGTGTTAAGGGCTGAGCACTCATCTGTTACATATTCCTAGTACCTCATATATCCATGAATCTGTGCATTGACCACCATTCCTTGGAAGAGAGAGGCTTCACTCATTAAGACTGAGAGTAGCATTTGTCTATGGGTAAAAACATAAATATTTATAAGGTAATTCGACTCTAGCAATTCAACTAAACAGCAGTATTCAGTTTCCCCCTAAGGCTCATGTTCTCTGGTGTGTGTGTTTTGGTGAGATTTACAGTTGCAGGCTTAGATACCAGTAGTCTGTGGAGTAGGCCTTGAGTCCAATCAGAGGCAGTTGGTTACCCTCATAACTGTAGTACCACCATTGTACAAGTGGGTACATCTTGCCTGGCACATTGCCTGGGTAAGTCTGCTGTTGGTTTTTCTCCTCCAGCAGCAGGGAGGATTTTTCAGGTCAGTTGCAGCTTGATTTCTCTCTGTCATACAACCAAGGTATTTAGAGTCTTCAGCAATGGGATCTTATTATCTAATACTGGTGGAAAAGCAAGAGGAATGGCCAAAGTCTGTCTTGTCTGGAGGGTTCTGTGGTTTCCTTGACTTGTTGGGGGGCATCCCACCCTAGCACTGGGTGGTAGCAGATTTTTCTAACCATGCAGGCTATTTTTCTTAAAACTACTTTTCTTAAAAAAAAAAAAACTAAATTGCATTTTTTAAAAAATTTGATTGCAAGATAATAGATTTTTTTATTGGATGTTTTATTTACATTTCATATGTTGTCCCCTTACCCCATCCCCCACCCACCCAGGTACCCCCTATCCCCTTACCCCTCCTCCTTCTTCTCTGTGGATGTAACCCCTACTTACCCCCCACTCTTACCTCCCCACCCTCAAATTCCTACCCCCTGGGGCGTCTAGCCTTCATGGGGTCATGGATCTCAAGATAATAGATTTTATGTGCCTTTTTGATAGTCCTTATTTTTTAGGTTAACCTTCCACTTCTTCTCTCATCTTCCCTTCCTGCCAGCCTCACCCCTACCTATAGTTTTCCACCCCCATATTCCTCCCCTGCTCTTCTATTGCCTACATTACCCTGTATCCGCAATGGCCTCTTTCTAGTTTCCTGGTTTCTACAGAATCTCAATATGGGCTCACACTTTTTAGTGCTAGAACCATTTGGTGACCTTTACCACTCACTGCCCTTGAGGCAATTTATTTTTTTCTTCTAACCTTCCCCACTAGATGGAGCACTTCTCACAATCATTGCAGAGCCAATCACACGCTGGGAAAGCCTGCCTGCCTGGTTAGACAGCTTCGAAAACACCCAGAACTAAAGCATTTGATAGCAACGAGCTGGGGGAGGGGTACTGATAATTCTCAGTTTCTAAGAAAACTAAAACTTGAGAACCTTCTCAAATGAAATGAAATAGTAGTACTCCCTTCCCTGAGTTTCTCCTGTACAGTCTGCTGGAGCTGAGACTGAGGCTTCCTCATAGATGCATTTGCCTCATTTGACTAAGTAAAGCATAAAATCAGGTTACCAGTCTTGTTTCCGAACATCAAGCCATGTCTGCTTTTGGATATTGTGGAATTTAAGTTTTATATAACTAGACAGTAAAATATAGACTCTAAAAGCTTGTTTGAGCGTTTCTTATCTGACCTTTAGTGAAAGGATTTCCATATGCAAAGGTGAAGTCCTGGAATTCTTCATGGATTTACAACTATTGACACATTTCCATTTCAGGAGACACTAATATAATATTTTTACATTTGTATAAAACAATGAAATTTCAGCAAATATGTATTTTAATAAGTCTAACTTAAATTTATATATAAATTTAATTTTTAATAAGACTGCTAACAAGCCCATTGACAGAAAAAACAGAGATGTTTTGACTTCTACCCTTGCCTTCATAAAAGAAAGACTATTTTCATTTATTCATAGTTAATCTGTGTTTTAGAAGCACAAGGAAATGAGTGGTTTTGCGTTTGTATCTAAGGCCTGGAAAAGCACACGATTTCTTCTTAACATAAAATTTCTGCTTTTCTGAGAAATATAAGATTGTTGCTAGGGTTTTATTAAAATTGAAATTAATAACAACATGCCTTTGAAAAATAATCTTATGAGATAATGTAACTAATATTTTCCACGTGTATTGTTAGTTATAATGCAAGTCGGTTTTATGATCTACTTCCTACCATGTTAAGAATATCTGAGGTGTGGTGTCTGTAGGCTGTGCTACATACACACACCTGACACTGGACGGTTTACAGGCACTTTGAAGTTCATAGTCCTAGCTTTCCTTCTGGAACCTTTGATGTGTTCCAGGAATAGGTAAGCCTTTTAACTAAATGAGCACATTTAATCTTCATAGTCACTTGAAACAATCCAGTGTAGCTCCCTGAAGAATGTCAGCTTCTTTGTCATGAGAATAACGTCTTTCGTTACAGTGAATATTTTCTAGCCATTGTTATAATGCAAAACAGACCTTCAATTATGTATCTCTTAGAAATGAAATGGATCCTCCTACTTTAGTTTGTGTCTGTGGTTAAATCCTTTACAAATCATGGTTTCAAGACTAATCACAGACCCTGCTATTAAGAAAGATCTGCTGTGATGGTTAGTTCTGTCACCTTGACACAAACCTCAATTAAGGTATGGCCTCCATCTGACTGGCCTGTGGGTACTTTCTTGATTAGTGATTGATGTGGGAGGCCGATGTGGTCAGTGCCACCCCTAGACGGAGAGTGGGAGATGGGAAAGAAATAAAGAATAGTCAACAAAATTCTGCTAACTGTGGGCCAGAGCCTGAGGATAATGAAAGAGAAAAGCTTGATTTTTTTTTGGATATGGATTGGGTTTTTCAGAGTTATTTAAGGCCCTTGACCTCCCTCGAACACTGTTTTTCCATCTGTAAAATGAATACCTTGGTCTGGAGATTGCCTAGGGTCTCCTCCTGCTTGTAAGTTCCATGGTGAGAGTTAGTAATGCATTTGTGCTCTGATTACAAATGGTCTGGGAAGTGCAGAAGGCTCGGGTGAGCCTGTGCCTCTCCCTGCTTGCACACTAGCACAGTCAGATGTTTCAGCTGGAACTCTTTGTTTCTTCATACGCTGCCACCACCTGGACATCGATAGACCTTTTGGGAGAGGGTGAGTAAGCCTTGTCTTTGAACTCCTCCAGTGAGAGATGTCCACAACCGTCTCCCTGTGGCCTTTAGGAGTCTGGTCTATCTCCTGTCCTTTTCTCCTCTCTCTTTTGCTCTGTCTCTGATGAAATACAGATTCCTTGGCTGCACTTTCCTCTGTTCCCTCTGAAGCACCGATTTCAGACCCATTTGCACCAGAACCTTCCCCTCCTACTACAACCACTGAGCCTGCTTCAGCTTCTGCCTCAACCACCACAGCTGTGACAGCTGTCACTACGGAAGTGGATCTCTTTGGAGGTTAGTCAGTCATGCCACTACTCCTTCATTCCTTTCAAGATGGCTGATGCACCTGACACCAAAGGCATCTGAATTGCCTTATATACTATGTTATATGTTAACAATATGGCAGAGTGTAAGTACTTTTCCAGTGTTGGTTCATATATGCTTGACAGTGCTAAACTCACGAGCTCCTCTCCCTATAGTTTTGGCACTGCTAGAGCAAAAGCTGTGGCCCTTTGAGCCCAATGGATTTTACATCAGGATCTAAGTTGCTGCCAGACTCTGCTCACACATGGCCTCCCTGCAGGGTCTCTGCAAGTGATCCCAGGCTTCTGACACATTTAGGTGTGGCTTTGGGACTAGACTCAAACTGGCCCGGGGAATATTTAAAGATCATGAGAGAACAATCCTAGCTTAAATAATTTCTTAGCACTTAGACCAATGTATCTATACCTATACCTGTATATCTGGATAGATAGATAGATAGATAGATAGATAGATAGATAGATAGATAGATAGATAAATGTATTATAGATATATTTGTATATAGAGATATAGATGAGAGGAATTAAAATTTAGATGGCTCAACAGAGACTGCTATATCTATACTTCTGATTGTTGTGTTCAAGTGAAATGTAGGACCATCTTGACTTTGGAACTTTGAGAGTCTCTCTGAGCAGCATTTGACATGCTGATCAAAAACAGGTGCAGATCAGTTTTGGGAAGGATTGTTCAGAAATATGCTTTCTGTGTAGATGCTAGTTCCGACCTATGGAAATGCTCCACAATACAGTCAGACACAATGAGCATCAGAAGCCAGTTCATATACATACTTGCATCTGGGTGGAGCCGCTGTGCAAACTCAGAGAAGTGTTTGGACCACATGCACACATCTAGGGGTGTTAGACTCATTACAGTTTCATGTTTCTTCATTACTGTATAGCATATTTCCCAGGACATTTTGAAAATGTTGTAAAGAAATTAAAAGAAGCAAGTGGTGGGGAAGCCAGGAGAGGTTTGGCAGGCCGTGGTGGAATCAGTGCATTCCCCTGGTGGTGAACACTTACAGTTACATACCATTGTGCTGCATGTGGTACCCTGGGCTCTGAAGTTGTCCAAGACAAGTAGCATTAGCCAGACATGGCATTTCTGCTGCAATTTCACCAAAGAAATTGTCTGTCACCTTGCTGTGTCTTCACTCTGACAAAAAGAAACTTACTCCTTAAAAAGCAGAGAGACTTACAGACTTTTCAGAGTTTCTCTAACAGGAACTTCTCAAAAGCAGAATGACCCTTGTCAATGTTGTGCTTTCTTTCAAGGTTAAAAAAAAATAAGTTACAGCTTAATTTTTAAAATTAACTCCTTCACCTTCCTCTCTCTGCCCTGCTACTGGCATTGAGTCTAAAGGTTTCTCATGCAAGGTCAACAGAAAATGTGAACAGGTCTGACAGCAGTTTTAGCACTGAAGCATTTCTGTAACCGTTGCTAGTTAGAGATTTATTTTTCTTAGTCCCCGTGAAAGGAGCTTGGTTACATCTCAGGCATCAAGCCGGTCTGCCTTGCTTTCCTCTTAACTTTCCAGAATAATAAAGCCCCAGATGTTCCTTTAAAACGTTGTTTGAACCATTATGCTGTTTGTGATTAGTGTCTGTCAAGTAGAAAAATCTTCACTTCTGTCAATGCTATCATGGTGACATTATTGTTACCTTTAAATATAAGTCTTAAGGGGCACTGCAGAGTCACAGCTGCCCTGCGTTGTCATCATGTCCCTCTGTCCTCTGGCAAGGACACGAGTGAAGCACAGCTTCTCTGTAAGTCTTGTCATGGACTTTATTTCTCTGCTTACCTCTATGAACTGCCTCCTGCCTCAGACTGCTGAGAAAGCTCCGTCCACCACAGTCAGGTGTCTGTGTATCTCGCTGCCTCTTTATAGTCTTCGGTAATTTCCCCCTGATTTTTTTCGTGTTCTTTTTGTTTTGTTTAAAACAAATCATTTAAATCAGTCTTAAATAAACGCTAAGCTTAAATCTCCGAGGCCATTTTGTTGGCCACTTTAAAATATTTTAGATCTGTAAGATGGATAAGAATTTGAACTTGAGTAAAGGCACCAGCTACATTTATTTGAGTAACTTTAAAAAATATTTTCATATCAGATGTGCTGGTCACACCCAGGAGGCTCATGGAAGACAATAGCAAATTTGAGGCCAACCAGAACTATGCTGTAAGTTCTGGGCCAGCTTGAGCTACATAGTAAGACTCCATCTCAAAGATATAAAACATGCTTGTATTCTATGTAATGTTTATAGCAACATTGATTTATCTAGAAATAAGCATAGTAAATTTTAATTTCATAAAAATATAGCTACAAAACTTCATGAATATAAAATTTTAAATGTTAGAGTTTAAAACAAACATCATGAGTATTTATTTTAGTAGAGTAAAATGAGAATCTGAAAAAATATTCGAATTTATCTCTGAAAATGTTTTGTTATTCATTCTCTGTGAGTTTCCCATCTAAGTTGCTATTTTGTCTTTTCTGATAGATATATTTACTAAGTCTTTTATTTTTAAGGCAAACTTTTAAGAAACAGAACCTGTTTTCTGTGGTTATACAGAACAGAATTCTAAGAATGCTGTGCTTTAAGTTTCTATATAAGGTACACACAGATAAATGATAGCATTGTTCTTTTAAAATATCCCAGTTGGGGGCTGGTGAGAAGGTTCATGGGAAAGATGCTTGCTGCCAAACCTGAGTCTCATTCCTAACACCCATGTGATGGAAACAGAGGACAGACTCCGGGGGAAAAAAATCCCCTTCCCACATTTATGTCTTAGGGAAAGGTTTTGGTGAGAGTTTAAGAACTTTGTAATGTGACGGCAGCAGGGGCTCTTCTCTTTAAGAAAAGTTTCGATGGGAGTCAGTAGTCACATTCCTAATGTTTAGTCGTAACTAGCAAGAGCAGTGTTGTAGACAGAACCCCTCCCGCAGTGTAGCTGTTAGTATAGGCTTCACGTGTACATAAGTGATGACCAACCTGAAGAGCCTAGCCTGGAAGCATGTGCCGGAGCCTGTTACTAATGCATTCATCCCAGGAGCAGGGAATGGTATAGAGGCTTGGGCTGTTTAGTCTAGTGGCTGAACACACAAAGCTCCAGCAGACCGTAATGGACCAAATCCCAACTCAGACATTGATGGGCTGCATGGCCTTGATCAAACTACCCAAGTTATTGTTTTCAACTGAAAAACTAGAAGTTCCCTATATTCTCATATGCACCATGATGCTTCAAGGTGTGCATATGTTATGGAATGGCTAGATAAAGTCTGTGCTGATGCACATCATTTTGAATACTTGGAAATCTCTGAACACTGGTTCTCTTCTCACGGAATGGAAGCAATAAAAGGCACCATCTGAAATAGTTCCAGAAGTTAAATTTTAATAATTTTTGAAAATATGTCTTTCCCCCGTCCCCCCAGAGCCACTGGCCCCAGTTCTGGGTATACAGTCATGGAAAGAAAGATCCCTGGCAGAATATTGTGAGGACTCTTCCCTTCCTACCCTCTGCCAGAGTCCCTCTACCCAACCCACCCTGCCTGCCCACACACACACACACACACACACACACACACACACCTTGGAATTCTCATGCTGCCCACAGCCCTCTGGTGTCATCTGGGTCTGCACTGTCCCTGGAGTGGCTTACTTTCTCCAGTTTATTCCCATGTTCCCAGCCCCCATCAACACAGCATATATTCCCTCAGGACAGCTGAGAGAAGCAATCAGATTACATTAATATGAGCTCTGATGGTGTTTAAACAAACTTTTAACTCAAATGAGCCTCTTGTAATGTTAATTTTTTTTTTTTTACTCCGCAAAAACATAAAGACTCAAGATGTATGCTACTTAACTTTCTTCTACCTAGACAAGCTTGTTACTTGCTGCATTCAACTGAGAAACAAGGACCTGGACCACAGGATTTCCTCAGGCTTAACACACTGAATGACTCTCTGAGAAAGCAGCTCTACTGTGGGATGTTTCCCAATCATGTTTGACCATTTCCTCTTAGTGACTGAGGGTCAGTGCTCTAGGACACACCAGTAAAGTCTATTGGAAATGAGGAATGGCAGGAACTTGTGGGTTGATCTCATTCTCCGAAGGCTTTGTCTTCATTCTTGCAACAAAAGACTCTACGTAAGCTCCATAATAAATGTGGTTTGCTGTGGGCATGCACTGGGAAGGGCGTGCATCCCTCAGCCATCAATGTATGTTTAGGGCTAGAACATAGTGTGCAAGGCTCTGGGTCCCCTAGCATTGGAAAAAGAAGCATGAAATGTATTTATGAGCTGGGGCTACTGGTATGCTAATGGGGTTCCTTCTGTAAACAATGCACTTGTAGTCTTAAAACATGAAATTATATTTTTAATCTGTTGGAAATAGATCACTTTCCAAATAACTAGAAAATATAATAATATTTGAAAACAATAAGTGTAAGTAGAGATAAAGACATTAAGCATCATGCCCTAATTTGGTTAGCTGTTTATTTCTTTGACTTTTTCTTCTGTATCTGACAATTCTTTCCAAGGTTAGTGAAGACTTTTCTGAATACTTACCAAATCTTTCATGCTAACATTATGATTTTTTTGTCTGCACTAGACTAAATTTAAGATATTCATTTATATAGCCATTGTCTATTTAATATTATTTGCATACAGAGAAGACAGTGGATTTTTCTGGAAGCCACCAGTAAGAGGTATAAGAGAAAAAAAATGCAGCAAAGAAGCATTATCTGGACATGAAAGTTTAATGTCTTAAATTACATAGTAAAGTTATTTTGTTTTAATTTTTGCATCCATTAATTTCTAATGAAACCTAAAACATGCTTTTTAGAGCCCTTATACAATGAGAATCTTGTTGGATCACGATGGCCTTCAATAGTATCCGCATACCACCATTCACGGGTTAGCTAACAGGGAGACGCCCAAACCATAATTACTTTGTGATTACCAACAGTGCATGAGACATTCGTGTTGTATAAGGGAGCTTTCTTCACAACTTAACTCGGTTCTTTTACTATATTTTCTTCTCTTTTTATTCCTTCAATTTCTGTTATTTTTAAAACTGCACCCAAGATGCCTTTGCAGCTTCTCCTGGGGAGGCCCCTGCAGCATCCGAAGGGGCCGCGGCACCAGCTACCCCAGCCCCAGTGGCTGCAGCTCTTGATGCATGCTCAGGAAATGGTGGGTTTACACATGAGCCAGTCTGTTGTTTTTCCTGTCCTAATGTGAAACCTGCATAGTTAGATGTGGCCATATGTTTTCTAATTTTGTTTTCTTATTAGTGTAAACTCATTCCTCATAACTGAATAAATAATGCCAACACTTAAAACATTAAGACAATGAAGTGCATACTTATCAAAATTGGCAATTCCTCAAGATTGACAATTTTTCTCAGTGCAAGTATGCTCTCTTAATGTTTTCCCCCCTCTAACGCATCCTTTATGATATTGAGTTCAAATATATTGACATGTTTTAATGAACTTTCAGAGCTACCAAATTGCCTAGATTAGGTAAGGGCATGAAAAATAGCAACCCCTGGACCAAAACTATGTAGGCTAATCTCACAGCACCCTACAAAATATTTCAGATCAAACTTGTAGTTCCAACTGTATTTTCTTTTTTTCTTTAGAAAAGCATCCCAACTGCTAATAAGATAGTAGTGAAAGCCATGTAACCTTGAGGCCTAGCTAGTATGTAAATGTGTGTGACATGTCTTCTTACCTGTAGTTACGATTCTGTCTCTTGATCCTTCCTGACTGATGCTGTGTGTGTGTCTCCACTTTCCTTTCCAAAAGACCCTTTTGCCCCATCGGAAGGTAGCGCAGAGGCTGCACCTGAGCTGGACCTCTTTGCAATGAAGCCACCTGAGACCAGCGCTCCTGTAGTTACCCCTACAGCTAGCACAGCCCCTCCAGTTCCCGCAACCGCTCCTTCTCCTGCTCCTGCTCCCACGGCTGTGGCAGCCACTGCTGCTGCCACCACCACCGCCGCTGCTGCAGCTACCACCACTGCCACCACCTCTGCTGCTGCCACCACCACCGCCGCCGCTCCTCCTGCTCTAGATATCTTTGGTGGTAATTTGTCACTGTTACTAAATCTCTCTCATCTGGTGGCTTGAACCTGGTCCTATAATGTACACGTGACTCATATGCATGAAAAGTGTAGTTAAATGGTTCTCTAGAGTCCATTTGCTACTTAACCTAGAGTTCTTGTGAGTGCTCTGTCAGAAAACTGGCAAGTGATGCTGTCACGGGCTTGATTTTCAGACTGAGTGAAAGCCTATGTGTTCTTGGTCTTAGATTTGTTTGATTCTGCTCCTGAAGTTGCTGCAGCACCTAAGCCAGACGCGGCTCCTAGCATAGACCTGTTTGGCACAGGTAAAGCAAAGCAACAGTTTTCTTCAGCTCTGTTTATGTAGACGTGTCTGTCCTTGGTCAAGCCCTGTGTAGTTAGTTGCTGTGATCAATGCATTTGTTAGCCGAGTGACTCTGATTTCAGCCTTCTGCTACTTACTTCTGCTTGGTTTTGGTTTCTTTCACTTTTGGAAGATGCTTTCTCCTCCCCACCACGAGGGGCCTCTCCGGTGCCTGAGAGTTCTCTCACTGCTGACCTCTTATCTGGTGAGTGCTTCTCCTAGGTCAAGCCTTCAGAGCTGTCTCTGGAGGGCCATGGGTGGGGGTGGGGGTGGGGGGGGAGCTCAGGTAGCGAAAGATAATCTAATATCTTATAGGTTTATCTTATGTGCTTTAAGACTCAGAATTCATCTAAAAGGAGAATCTTATTCGCTAGCCCATCAGCAACTGGTAAAGGTTGATATCTCAAAGATAAGGTTGGCAAAGAAAAAGTTCAATTTCCCACTAATTGTTCTACTACTGAAGGGTCAATTTTTCATTTGCTTTTCTTTTCTTTTTTTTGTTTGTTTTTTTGTTTTTTGGGGTTTTTTTTTGTTTTTTTGTTTTGCTTTGTTTTGTTTTTTTGTTTTGTTTTGTTTTGTTTTTGTTGTTGTTTTTTCGAGACAGGGTTTCTCTGTGTAGCCCTGGCTGTCCTGGAACTCACTGTGTAGACCAGGCTGGTCTCGAACTCAGAAATCCGCCTGCCTCTGCCTCCCAAGTGCTGGGATTAAAGGCATGCGCCACCACCGCCCGGCTTCATTTGCTTTTCTTAACTGTCAAGATTTTCCCACTTCCTTTCTGTGACTGAAATCTTGAGGCCATTATTGGGGTCTGGGTTTCAAAATGCTGAGGATGACCACCATGTTCCCCTGTTCTTCACTGCAGTGGATGCATTTGCAGCGCCATCTCCTGCATCTACTGCCTCTCCTGCAAAGGCGGAGTCCTCGGGGGTCATAGACCTTTTTGGGGGTGCGTATCTCTCCTCTTTCAGCACTTACGTCATCTTATGTCTTTTTGGTTGTTGTTGTTCTGAGTGGATTCTCCTCTTTCATTCTAATTCACTTTGCTTCTTTTGACTCTTAAGTTGCTTTTGTTTCTTACGTGTGAACTTAAGTTGTACCGACCTTTCCCATGTCTGTGGCGCCATCACCGTCATCCTCATGGCTCCTCACAACTTTCAGTGCATGGTCTAACAAATCCAGAGTGCTTTCCATGTGACATCTTCTTGTTTTCAGCTTTTTGTTCATCCTCATTTTAAATCACCTGTTTAGAGTCCCTCTCTACTGTTTCCTCAAAGATCCTGATGTGTTAGTTATGTTAACACTCTCAAGTCCTTCAAAGCAATATAAAACATAAAATAGGTAATTCAGAATTGAAAACAAGCCAGTTAGGTGTCAACATACAGAATGCTGTTAATTTACATTGAATTTAGTATTTTTAAATCTTTACAGAGAACTTGGAGATATTTTTTCTGGTTTAAATGTCTTCTCTTTCTTCCTTTATATAGTATCTGAAGACAGAAAGGTATATTGATTATATCTTGATTGTATCGATTGGTTATCTGTATTCATATCTTTAAGCTAAAGTTCTTTGTTAGTAATAAACTTTCAGGAAAGAGACAGGTCTGAACCGAATCCGTAAAAGTAACCCTAAAAGTGTCTTTGGGCTAAAACATCATCTTTGCATGTTGTACCCACATGGATAATCTACTGTCACTGATGCATCCTGGTACATACCATGCTACATATATGAGGGTACAAAGAAGTCGCAGAGGCTGGCGGACCTCCTGAAGGTGCTCAGACTCATAGGTACAGGGAGGTACAGGGAGTGCTGTTATACTGGGCATGTATTAAGTGTTTAGAAGCTTAAATGGGAAGTGAGAAATCCTGTTTTACCTTCATTTAAAAATCTCAATTCTGTTTTTAATAAATGATGGACTCTAGTTTGAAACATTTATTCATTTTTTAAAAAGTCTGTGTCTTAATCATTTAGTGAGGTACTAATTATTAAACATTCTAGAACTCTCATGAGAGGCTAAACTCTAGGGCAGAGCATTGTGGCACACAGCTGCAGTCCCTGCTTGTGGGGAGGCTCCCAGTGCAAACAGGAGTTATATATTAAGACTCTGAGACTATAAAATAAGACAAACTGCTTAGAGCCTGCGTAGAGCCACCTAGTCATTTCACATACCCAGGAGGCAGGCTCTCCATACAGAATGTCACGTATGTGTATGTGTCTGCATGTATCACACTTGGATTGCTTAGTCACTTACTATTTGACTCTCTTACTTTCTTGCTGCATAACGGATAATGGATAGATGCATTTGGAAGTAGTGCTTCTGAAACCCAGCCAGCACCACAGGCTGTTTCTAGTTCATCAGCGTCGGCAGATCTACTAGCTGGTAATTGATTCCATTAAAATGCCATTTTGCAAAAGCTAAGTTTGGATATAGTTTTATAAGTAATAGATACTATATAAATTGCAAAATATTTTTAAATTTTCCTTTTAAGGAATGAAATTGAAGGTGATACAACATTAAATAATAGAAGGTTTATTACTTCCTAGATTTTATTAAATTAGTCTTAAACCCCTATTGATACTCCCAATCTTACTTTCAATTAGCATGTTTGTTTTTATTTGTCAAAAAGGTAATATGTTTTGTGTAGAAATTCTGCCTTATAATGATGCTCATATATTTTGGAAGGAATCTGTAGTAAACTATGCTGCAATATTTAACAGTTGGTTTTATAATACGTGAGTCACCACAGAAGAAACCATTATAAATTTTTCCTGTTGAATTGAAATGTTGTGACATACATCATGGACTTTTTGACAAGCTGATTAGGAACTAGATGGGTAGGAGGATCACTGCTCATTGCTAAGACAGTAGAGACTGGTTAAAAGAACAGTTCAAGGACCCAAACACGGTTAAAACCAAGCGTGAGTCTTCCTTGGAGTCAAGACAATATCAGACTTAGAAAGTGGCCAGTTGGAAGACCCCAGCAGAAGTCTTAGACCGTGCTTAGCTCAGGAACTCAGAGCATGCTAACCTCACTTGGATTTTGCTTGAGGGAAGCACAGCAGTAGTCTAATGAAGGCCTCTTGAAGCTCAATGCAGCTTTCAGTGTACCCCCAGTCACTAGAAGGGATGGATTTTGTTCCTTGGGGTGGCAAGGAGTTAATGAGTCTCCTGAGCACCTGGAAGCCTCATATCTAGAGTCCCTCGGTTTAAATAATCCAACAACCATGTGGTCCTTTAAGAGTAACTGGTTTTGACCAAGTGTGGCCACAGTTTACAACCTAAAAGCAGTGTAAACAGGATCCCTTCACTGAGTGGAGTAGGCTGGGGAACATGCTAGTGTTCTCAGACTTGTGATAGGTAATGGCGGAGCCTAAGTGCTCCCTCCACACCCTCATCATTAGTGTTGTAGGAAAGTTCCCTTGTGGTCACATCTTTCCTCCAGGAACAGGAGGAAGTAGAGGCAGCCCCGCCTTCTTTCTATCATCAGTAATTCAGTCTGTGGCTTTAGCTTCTCCAGCGGGGGTAGCTCTTTCATTTCTTTTATATGCCCTCTGGCTCCCTGATCCAGTCGGGTACTCCTATTTGCCAGCTCTTGTCTCAGTGACTGCTGTGATGGACCAGAAACCCACTTTGATGGTTCTTTGACATCTGGAAGCTAAAATGTAACATGAGGTGCGCACCTCACACAACCCACCACTGCCAGCTTGAGACAAGCTGCCAGCTTGCCTGGCTTTCCTCTCAGCCTAGATGCATTTCACAGCAGCTTCAACTGGCTAGATGCTTTCAATTTCTTATTAAACCAATACATTCAATTTAGATTTTTTTTTAAATCTGCAGTAAGATTTTAACAGGCCACAGAAATAGCATATTTTCCAGGTTCCTTGGTGAAAATGATCCCGCTGGTTTTTAAAATGAGATGACTGATTTTAAGTCTTTGGCTCTAGAGTTATGGTTAAAAATCAATTGTACTGGCTATCTAAAGAAGTCTAGGAAATCTTTCTTAGATATCTGCTGGCCTGCCATAGACCATATGGGTCACAGAACAGTTCAAATCCACTAAGCAGGAGGCTGGCTAAAAGGCCATACTGTCTATCCTAGTGTTCTTAGTCTACTGAGAACTCCAGGGCCAGAACCTGAGATACTGTTTTGAAAAGAGCCTAGAACATTAGGACCTGGAGCAGAAGCCAGGGATCTTGGGAAAAGAAAGCATTCCAAGTCAGAGGCCGGTGACAGAGCCAAGAGGTTTGGTCCTAGGGATACCACAGGATCTATACCACCCTGGAGAGTGAAGGATCTCAGCTGCAGAGAGTTATGTTCCCACAAGCACTTTCACCAGATATCCTGATATAAGAAAATTTGAATTACATTTTAAATGTTTCTAAAATTTAATTTGAGAGACTGGCCTTTCCCTGTATTAATTACAGAAAATCATTCCTTAATAATTGCTTAACAATGACAGCACTGGAAAACCACATCTTTAGTTTTAAAAAAGTTATGGAATATCAACATAATTGTATCTTGTGATTGCTTCCAGTCCTCTCCACAAGTCAACATCATATCTACAATTTAGCTAACAGTGCTATCTGAGTTTATGTTACCCAATTATCTTTGTTTAATGCATATAAAACAGAACAAATATTGGGACATGGCCTTATGGCTGTTTACAGAGCTTAGCACTTTGCTTTGACTTGTGTATATGTTTGTATAGAGATATAGCTACCAAGCCCACCACCTATATAAATAAAGAACCTTTAAAAAATAAATAAATGAGGTGGCGCATGCCAACAATTTCAGTGTTCAGGAAGCAAAAACACAGAGGTCACCAACCAGTTTGAGGCCAGCCTGTTTTCCTTGAGGGCATCCAGGACTACATAGTCAAGAAGTGTCTTAAACACACAAATAAGTCTAGTAAAAGATACACACACACACACACACACACACACACACACAGGCTAATATTAGGGTCAGATCCACAAGGAAGTTGCATTTTGCCAAGAATTTTCTAGTTGTGATTATAATAAAACTATTTTATAAAGGATAAAATAGAAAGATAATACACAAGTACCATTACAGTCAGATTAGACTATGCAGAAGAAATCTTGGTCTCTGGAGTGAGGTGACTTGCCTCATACAACTAAGATTTCTTTTTGCCCATCTTTTTGTGTGGCCCTGGGGACCACACTCACAGCTTCTTTCTTGCTAGCAGGTGGCTGTACCGTCTCTTTGAAGGAGCAAGTTTACACTAGTGAAAGGCAATAAATAGATGGTAGAGTAAAATGCTGAAATTATTTTTAAATATTTTAAAGCCAACTATTAAGAGTAACTTTAAAAACAAAAAGAAAATGTTACTGAAAGTTCATGTGTATTCTAAAACCAGGAAACAAAAGACTTAATGAAACAGGTAATTTCTTTTAAATTGTTGTATAAAGTCCAGTTATGTTTCACTCAAATTCAGATCCAGACTTGTCAAATCATAATCAATTGCAATACCATATATTGATGACATATTGATCTTCACCTATCATTTTCATTGTCTCTTGGCCTTCCTAGCCCTGTAACACAGTTCCTCATGTTGCAATGACCCAACCATAAAATTATTTTCATTGCTATTTCACCATAATCTTGTTACTGTTATCATAATGTAAATATTTTTGGAGATAGAGGTTTGCCAAAGGGGTCATACCCAAGGTTGAGAACTGTTGATTTAAGCAATAATCTTATTGCTTGGTGCATCCAGTAAAGCTAAAGAGAAGTCTGGAGATAGGATAATGACTCTGACCTCAAGCTTTCTCATCTATTGAACCTCATCGGACTGTTCTGAGGATAAAGTAAATTCATGTATGTATGTTTTATGTGGTATCTATCAGACAGGCCCTGGGCCACACATGACTGAAGACTGCTGTGAATATAATGAAGGCCAAAATCTTAACGTTATTTTTTTAAACATGAGAGTTTTTTCCCCCATTTCTAGAGGGGAGTTAACTGAGTTGCGACATTCCAGGGTTAACTTGGTAGATGCTATCACTCTACAATGGAAGAGGTTGGATAAGCCTGTGGTAGACATTGCTGGTTTTGCAGGATCTAAAGGAATCAAGTGCATGTGATGTGAACGGGTCAGAGTGTTAGAACAGTGCCTCACACTCAGGTGCCCCATCCCAGTGAGGTTGTCATTACTCCTTTTTGTAGAACACACACTGACAAATGGGAGCCCTTTATCCACCTATGAATGTGATCTTAGCTTCATTAGTTCGAAGCCCATAGCCCTATATGAACCAGCACAAATACGATTTTCCCTTTCTGTGGAATCTACCAAACAGTTTGACTCTTTGCAGTCACTTCCCATCATGGAATGACAGAGGCGACATAGGCAAACCCTGGTACTTTCAAATTACTATTATGATTCTAGAGTTAATTCAGTGTTATTTAAATATTAAAATCACCCAGCATGACCCCTCATATTTTCACTAATAACTTTAAATAACTGAAATTTTACTCAAATGCAGTAATTTTTGGATTTGTGTTCAAGGAAAATCTAAACCCATGAAGTCTTAAGTTTATATCACTTTTGATTTATAGGGACATTATTACCTACTGCTGAAAAGATGACCAAAGTTTGATGAAAATTTCTTTACAAATGATTACTGGTTTTATGAATTGCAGTGTTAATATATGTCTATTATTTTACAAGCTCTTTGTGAAGTGATGATGTGGCTAAATTTGAAAAGAAAATATGCAACAAATTGGTTATAAGAAAGACTTCTAGGCATCATGATGCATGCCTTTAATCCCAACACTCAAGAAAGAGGCAAGCAAATCTCTGTGAGTTGGTCAGTCCTGTCTTCACAGTGAGTTCCAGGCTTATCCAGGGCTATATAATGAGACTCTGTCAAAAAAAAAAAAAAAGAAAGAGGGGGGGAAGGAAGGAAAGAAGGAAGGAAGGAAGGAAGGAAGGAGGAAAAAGATAGACAAGTATCTGATTAATAATAAAATAAAAGCTTTTATAATAGAAAATTATGTAGTGTCTTAACTAATGAATTACCAGTCACCTTGCAGATTTTATTTATATTTTTATACAGAAGCAACACATAGTCATCTTAGACTTCTGTTTCTATTGCTTGAGAGACATGATCTGCCTCCAGAATTCAAAGAGTAAATATTTAATTTGATATCTGATTAATTTTCAGTAATCTTCACTCAGTAAACATTAGCTTACTGTTTCAGGCACTGTGTTAAGTAGCAGTAAAAAAGACAGGAGGAAAAGGTACACAGCTCCTGAACCTAGCAAGCCATCTGTGGAGTTAGGGTGTGGTAGCATAGGGATGAAGGCGTGGTGGGAGTGGGATGCAGCTATGCTCCACATGCTTAGGACAGGGCTGTACATGGAGGATGGCGTGTAGCCAGCAGCACTGGGTAGCACCACGTCATGGAATTCCTTCCAGAGGCCTGTGATATTAGGAGCTGTCAGTTTGGCTGCAGTTCTGTTTGCAGGGATAGGGAACACCCAGATCAGAGCCAGATGGCAGCTGGCTGCTCTCCAAAGGAATCTAAAAGTGATGGGATCAGTGAAAGCTTTCCTAGACGACTGTCAGCGTTGTCTACTCAGATTACCACCCTGTCTGTGCTACAAAGTGAAGACCAGGAGGGATACTGGACATCCCCTTGATGCCTGTTACCTGGAAACAAGGATGAGAGCCTACTTACCCTTTGTGATGCCGTGGGGCTAAAACACGTGAAAACTAAAGATTTGATGGCCATTGTTTTACATTTGCATTTCATTACTGAGCCACTGTGTGCAACTGAATATGTAATTACCTGTTACTGTCATTGTAAAGTGTCAGTGTGATGAAGACTGATCTGAATTCTTTTGTGGAGGGGAAGGATTCAAGACAGGATCCCTCCAAGTAACCTTGGCTTCCTGGAACTCAAAGAGATCTGCCTAGCTCTGCCTCCCAAATGCTGGGATTAAAGGCATTTGCCACCACTGCCCAGCGACTGGTCTGAATTCCAACCTTCTTCGATTTCTGTATTTCCTCATTCCGAATTCTGATACCACAGGTTCTAATAAGGTTCACTAACATGTGTATTGTACTTAAGTGTTTAAGTGCTGCCTTGTTTCTGGATAAGTTGGATTTGTCATTCATACATGATGGATCAACATACTTAAGAAGCGTTTTGCAAAACAAGCCTCCTGCTTTCACTAATTGCTCGTCACGCAGCCTTTCCTTTTTATTTCCTACATGTAGCTTTTTCTGACTGTTTTTAGGCCCTGTACCCCATCTTCAGCTGACATTTTTTTCTGGGACCTTTTTTTTAAAATCAGGATTTGGGGGGTCTTTCATGGCCCCTTCTACAACGCCGGTGACTCCAGCTCAGAATAACCTGCTGCAGCCCAATTTTGAGGCAGCTTTTGGAACAACGCCTTCAACTTCAAGCAGCAGCTCCTTTGACCCATCAGGTGAGGCACTGACTGTTCAAACATTCTTCCTCTTTCTGTTAATGGCCTCTACCTCCCAAGGTCAGCGTGATTGTAGGAAACTCTCAGGAAGATGTTGTTAAACCTGGTTGGTGGCTCTCGTTCTACAGTTCAAATTCAATTTTCCAGGGCAAGCTTGGTAGCTCTAAAAAATAACCGCCTGTCCTTTCTGTTTCTGTTTTTGAATTTTAGCAGAAAGCTTACCACACCCACCCTCTATTTTGCACAAGCTCACATGCACATGATTTAGCCATGTAAAGGGAGGACAAATACTTTGTAGTGAGCCTTTGAATAGTCTCTGAGTGTGTGGACACCCCGACACACCCCGCTCCTGCTGTTGCTTATACCCTCCGAAGCTTGCATGGCCCTCCGTTGTATGAAGTTGAGACACAAATACTACCTCTGCTTCTAACCTCTCATCATGGCTGTCATTCTGTTTCTCTTCTCTTCCATTCTCCTCCTCTCATGCTGGCTCCTTCCTACAAATTTTCAATTGGTGAGTTTTTGGCAATTAAATGTGTTTCAGAAACACCCTAAATATACCCCCTGCCTGACAATCTGGTTGCTTCCGTTGCCAGTGCTGACCTGAATGCTGTCTCTCCCACCTTAGAATAACTGTGTAGTGGCATTTATAGTAGCTACGCATAGTCCCTTACAAGAATGTAACAAGCCCAGAGTTTTTATGTCAGTAAGATATTAGCAATATCTTATGGAAATTCTAAGCCTGTGTTTTGAATAGTCTTTCTGTATTCTAGGAACTGAACAAGTGGTACTTGTCATCTGGGGATGAGGGACACACCAGTGGTAGCTCTTGAATCCTATCCTTAAATTTCTGTTTAATTTAAGTATGTCCATAAAGTATAACCCAAAAATTGCTATGAAAAGAAGGGGAAAACCAAAATTAACTACCTCTAAAATATGACCAACTGTCTTTCAGATACATATTCCTAGATGCTGACAGATCACTATTTAATTTTTTTGCTAATTTCATTGGACACTCAGGAGTTACATCTTTTCTCAATTACAAGTTGCTTTAAAAGTAAACATCTTAAGCCAGGCAGTGGTGGTGGCGCACACCTTTAATCCCAGCACTTGGGAGGCAGAAGCAGGTGGATTTCTGAGTTCAAGGCCAGCCTGGTCTACAGAGTGAGTTCCAGGACAGCCAGGGCTACACAGAGAAACCCTGTCCCGAAACTAACCCCCCCCCCCAAAAAAAACCCAACAACAACAGCAACAAAAAAAGAGTAAGCATCTTAGCTTTCCTTGAGTAAATCACTTACAGTTTACTGCACATCACTACCATTTAGAATAACAAGTACTCAGTGGTTGTTTTTACTTAGACTCACAGTGACTGCCACTTATTTAGTGCCTATACATTGTAATAAACATGTGGAAACTATCCCCTCGTTTGGTCCTCACAATGAAGGCATATATTAGTGGTACTGTCCCCATTTACATATGAGAAGATGGAAGTGTCAGAGCTAGTAAGGGCTGAGTTACAGCCTGGCTCTGTTCTCTGTCTAGCACCTTATGCCATACAGCCTTCCTCTCCATCTTTCTCCATGCTCATTAACGTTCCCATGTATTTTGAGTAGATATAAGTAGACGTTTTTTTGGTGCTTGTAGTCACAAATTATATGAATTATGTTGTTTCTTTTACAAGAATGTACTTTCATGTGTATCCATGGTTTCATTAAGGACTGTCCTTTGCATAATGTCTCTCTCTGTCTCTTTTTGTTTCAAATTTTCTGAACCTGGTCTGTTTGATTTTCAGTGTTTGATGGTTTAGGCGATCTTCTGATGCCAACCATGGCACCATCCGGGCAGCCTGCCCCTGTCTCAATGGTTCCACCCAGTCCTGCAATGGCAGCCAGCAAAGGCCTTGGAAGTGACCTTGACTCGTCTCTGGCCAGCTTAGTAGGCAGTGAGTAGTCTGGTTTTATTTGTTTGCAGTATATATGAACTGGATTATTTTTTTCTTTGTACCTTTTTTTTTGGGGGGGGGGGGGGGGAAAATTAAAAAAGGCCGCCATAGCGGCGCACTTCCGCCGCTGTGGCGGGTCCCACATTTGGGAAGAAGTCCTATGGTTCCAGTGGCCTGGAGGCCTTGGTGGTGGCAGGCCCCATTAACACGAAGAAGTCCTTGGTTCCAAAAAGGTTTATTGTCATGGCAGATAATAGATGGATCTAGGCGTACCCCCAAAAAACTCAGGGCAGTCCCGAGTTATATAGGGAGGGAGAAAGGGGGAGGATTGGGGGAGGATCTGGGGGAGGCATGTTTAATTTGCTCTGCCCTCTGGCCTTCATTAGTATGTAAATCCCTAGGGCCTGAGGCCTATAGCCCGGCCTATGTGACTCTATGGAGACCTTGACTGCATTTTAGGATCCTGGATGATGGGGGGGACCGAACTCCTGCCGGTTGTCGCGCAGAATTCCACGCAGAATCTCGGGGTTCTAGGCACCTGCTCAACCATGACCCATGATACCCTTATGCAGTCCCACGGTGGGGGGGGGGGGAGGGTTGGTTTTTCGAGACAGGGTTTCTCTCTGTAGTCCTGGCTGTCCTGGAGCTCACTCTGTAGACCAGGTTGGCCTTGAACTCAGAAATCTGCTTGCCTCTGCCTCCCAAGTGCTGGGATTAAAGGCGTGCGCCACCACTGCCTGGCTTCTTTGTACCTTTTCATATTTGTCTCTCTGGTTTTGCTTACAGGTAAATGTATTAAAGAGTGGCTCTGCATAGTTAGCATTTCACCCAGGGCCTTTCTTGGAAATGGAAAGTCATCACTTGCCATTCTATGGTCTCTTTTAATCTAAATTACCAAAAAAAAAAAAAAAAAAACCAAGGAGCATACACACTGGTATGCACATGTAGTATACAAAGTCATTTCATATAAGTGTGTAGCCATCTGAAAATAGAATTATACTAAGTGTAGCATATTTATAGTATATGAATGTCATTTTTTAAACAAGTATTTATTGATCAGGTGGTATTCTTCCAGGCACTGGAGACAATTCAGTGAACAGAATAGATAAAAATTTCTATTCTTATGGCCCTCACAAAGGTCAGAGGCAGAACAGTGAAAAGCTTACATGAATAAATTCTGATTTATGTTACATCTTGAGTGCCATGTGGGAGTAAGCCTCCCCGAGGTACGGAGTGAGCTCCATAGCTGTTGGGAGAATGTTTATGGCAGTGGAAGCATTCAGGGCAGATTCGGGTAGAGACTGCCTAGCAAGTCTAAGGGACATATGCAGGTTAAAGCTGGAGCTGAGGAGATGGAGAGTTATTTTGGACATTGGCCTTCATTTAAGTCTGAATTTTATTTTCTACCAAGGCATATGGGTTTACCTTTGTGGATGTCTTACATTATTAGGCAATATTAAAAGCTTAGCAGGTCATTTGTATATTCTTCTTTATGCATCATCCCAGGTACATTTATTTCACATTCATTGTGATCTCAGCATCCATAAAAAATGTCATTGTGACACCCTGGAGACTAATTATCTCCTTCTTCTCAAAATCTGTCCCACTGAGATACAGCTTTTAGTGAATGCACGCTGTACCTATCTCTCCCGTCCTGAGAGTGTCTCCAGCACACAGCCTTTCTTTTGTCAGCCACCTGTGACCATTCTGTCCACTTACAAAACCACTCACTCACTGGAGTGATAATTGATAAATCTAGAAAAGTATATATGAATCTGAAGGGTTGGTTTTCTAATTTCAAAAGTTCTCTAAGGCTATAGAAACTGAGCTAAATGATACTGACATGGCCATGAACTTTACTGTAGGCAACAGAAGAGAGGTGAGATCCTGGAAACAAGCCTTCACATCTGTCGTCAAGTCAGTGTTGACAAAGGGGAAAGACCATTCAGTAAGGGAAAAGACAGTCTTGTAAAGTATGTGGAGAGCTGGTTCCATGGTTAGCATGCTCTCTGGTCATACAGACGTGTGACTTCTGTTCCCAGTACCTACATCAAGTGGCATCACTGTCACTCCAGCTTTAGGGCATCTAACACCTTCTTCAAAACCTTGTTCTAGAATAATGGAAAAGACTCAGAAACAGGAATAAAGTTGGACTTCTTTATAGCATCAAAAAAACCCTCAAAATAAATAAATATTATATAAAACTATCAAAGTCTCAGGAAATAACTTAATAGTGAATCTTGGTTAGCTTGGGTTAGGCAATATCCTTTACTTACAATTCCTAAACATAAGAAAGCTTTGGCCCTGCAGAGAGAGATAGCGTCATGGTTTAGAGCACTTGTTACTCTTGCAGTGGAGCCGAGTTGAGTCCCGAGCATGCATATAACAGCTCACAACCACCCATAGCTCCAGTTCCCGTGTCTCTGTTTTCCTTTAGGACCTCTGCAAGTACCAGGCATATATGTGGTGCACATACAAACCTGTAGGCAGAACTCTAATACACATTAAATTTTAAAAGTCTGAAAAAGTTATTTAAATAAAAAGGCAACTCCAGAATGAAAGAGTTTCTAATCACTAATCTTACAAAGGTCTTCTTTTGGGGGGGAGGGGGGATCGAGACAGGGTTTTTCCTGTGCAGCCCTGGCTGTCCTGGAGCTCACTGTGTAGACCAGGCTGGCCTCGAACTCAGAAATCCACCTGCCTCTGCCTCCCAAGTGCTGGGATTAAAGGCGTGCGCCACCACCGCCCGGCTTACAAAAGTCTTCTATCCAGAATGTGTAAATAACTTCTGCAAATCAGTAATACAAGTAGGAATAATACAGCTTACAAACTGGCAAAGGACTCGAATAGAGATTTCACAGGACAAAGCTATACCTCAGGATAGCTATTAAATATATGGAAAGATCTTAAACATCTTCAGATGTCAGGTTAGTGTAAATTAGAGACACAGTGACCAAACAACTCACACCCAAAAGAGTGACTGTGAAGAAAACAGATTGGAACACATGCTGGCGAGGATGTGGGATGTTGAAACCTTCAGACACTAGTGATGGGCTTGTAATACAACACACTATTGTGGAAAGAAGCATGGCAGGTCATTGGCATGATAAGAGTGACCCTTACCTCTCAGCAGCTCTGCTGCTAGGTACATAGAGTAAATGAGAATGAATGTACTCACAAAAGCCTGTATAGATGCTCTTAGAACTACCATTTATAGAAGCTCTTAGTGGAAACAATCATATGGCTCCTTGGTTAGTTAAAGGTGGTGTGTGTATACGTACATTATAAATTGCAGCCAGGTCCACACCTCCACATCACATTCTCACCTGCCCTAAAGGGATTCACACATGTGTGTATGAAGTACCTGCCCAATTTTGCCTCTTCCCATGACCAACATAAATATTTCATTGGCCTTATAAATGTTTACTGTAGAGATTAAATTGTGTAATTTAATTAAAAATAAAAATTTTAGAAGTAAGACTTCTTTGTCTTCTAAAAACAAAAATAACTGGTCAGGAGTGATAGCACATACCTGTCTATGGGCGGAGCAACTTGCAAGGCAAGAGGATTTCTTGCACCTCCAGTGTAAGAGACTAGCCTGGGCAATACAACAAAATACAGTCTTAAAAAAAGGATCAAAATTATGTGTAATGATTTCTTTATTTAGTTTAGTTAGTAAGTATGGCTTGTTTTGTAATACTAAGAAACAAAATGCAAGAAATATATATTCAGTTCATAATGTAACAAATCAGCTACACACAGCTTTATGCTGGCTGCTCCCTCAGCTTAGAGAGCACAGCTTTGGAAAACCTCACATTCTCCAGAAGGCCTTCCCCGTGTGCCTCCTCAGCCCTTTCTAGCAGCCTCTAACATTTACTTTTCTTACATCATCCGTTCTCACCTGCGTTACACCATTAATTAGAGTGCAGTTTCTTTTGGGGTCGGGGTCTTTGATGGTTCTTTTTACTGATCATCCCTATGATGATATGATATCTGATTCAAAACATCTTTGTCAAATTGATAAACAAAGTGTAGTGAGGGTAGATGGTTAAGCCAGGTATTCCCAAGACCACTCCCATATTCACACTCCACCAGTGGCACTCCCAGAACCCAGCACGTGGCTTCAGCTCACATCTGAGCACCAGCACAGCAGCGAGAGAAGGGTGTGCAGCTGCCTAAGATGTTTCAGCCCGAGGAAGCCCCTTAGGGTGTCAGCACTCAGGGATTTCGTTAACCATTGATCCTGTGGGCACACACCACCAGGCACCTAGCCAATTTCAGACTTGCAGAAGGCAGGTGTTTAGCATAATCAACAGTGCCCATGTAAACACTGTAGGCACAGAGAGTCAGTTAGTCATTTAGTCATTGTTAGCTGTCATTAGAGACAGCTTTATATTGTGGAAATAACTGTTTCCAGGGCTTTTTCAGATAGCAATCTCAAACCTTCTGAGCCAGTCCACATTAAATATGATCCTTAAGTCTGATGTAAAGTAAAAGAAAACTAAAAATTCTAGCTTTGTGTACTGATACAGTTTATTTTCTGTCTAACTGGATACAGTCATTGCTAGGCAACAACAGACCTCTTCTAAGCCTCCTGGATTTCTTAAGTATATATAAGCTGAATATAAAGATTTAAATTCTTCTTTTATCCATTTGTAGACCTTGGGATTTCCGGTACCACATCAAAAAAGTAAGTGTTTTTCAATTAATCTGTGTTTCTTTTAACAGTATGTTCATGTGTGTTTATTCAAGACTGTCAAATATTTCACTCCCTGGAATACATTATTTCCCATTCCTAAGCTAGGCAATTTAAGTTGGTTTTTATTTAAGTTTATATTTTTGTTGTTAGTCTATTGAAATCTTCAAATTATTACTCTGCTTTGAGAAAAAATAATCTGTTTCAGGCTAGGGTTGCCACTGTTACAGCTGGAAAGATTTTAGGATAGAGTTTTGAGGGTTTGGTTGGTTGAGTAATTAGTTGGTTTTTTTGAGACATGGTTTCTCTGTATGGTTTTGAGTATTTTAATAGATTTAAGTTTGAAATTCAGCACAGCATTTCTGGCTAAAGTTGATTTTAAAATGTCTTTCCTGGGTCATAAGAATGATATATCTTTTATCAAATGTGTGTTTTGTTATTGAAACTAGGATGAATATTACAGCCATACAATGATTATAAATGATTATAAATCATATTGTAGATATGATACAGTTGTGTGAAACCCTCTCTTGAACCCTTTAAGAACAAGAAAAAGCTGTCATCAATTCAAAACAGAAACAGGACTGGAGAGATGGCTCTGCAGTTCAGAGCACAGGTTGCTCTAAGAGAGGACCTGAGTTCTGATCCTAGCATGCATGTCAAGTAGCTCACAATTCCCTGTAACTCTAGCCCCAGAGAATCCAATACCTCTGGCCTTCTGGGCACCTCTGGCCTCCTGGACATGTATCAGCCTCCTGGGCACCTGCACTTACATGTGCACACCCACACACAGAAATATACACATACACATAATTAAAATGTCAAAAATAATTCAACAAAATATGTGTCCAGATTGTTATATTATTTGGAGTTTTTTATGAGTAAAGAATTTAGTTGACTTTTTCTGCCATATTTCTCTATTGTAAGTAATGTGAAATTCCTATTGTCACTGAATTCAAAAGTCTTATTTGTTTTAATTCAAGTGGTTTTTGTGATGTCTTAGATACAGTATGGTAAGGTTCCTCTGTAAGTTTTAATCTATATGCTTTATCACTACCAGGTTTGAATGGATGACTTCTAAACCCAAGTAAAACATCAAGAAAGTCACATGGCATTTTTTTTCCTGAATTTTGTGTTTTGTTTCTTTTTCGTACTTGCCCTTCAGGGGAGATCTCCAGTGGAATGCTGGGGAGAAAAAGCTGACCGGTGGAGCCAACTGGCAACCGAAAGTCACTCCAGCCACGTGGTCAGCTGGTGTTCCTCCGGTATGTAACATTGAGGCCCAGGTGGTACGGGCAGTTCACCGCCTTTCCGGTATACAGAGCAAGTCATTCTGCTTAATTGAGTGTTAACATTGTACACCTCTGTTCACACGTAACAACACGAACAAGGTACAAAAGTCAGTGAAATCTAACTTTGCATGTATCAATGATTACAACCTGTGTTTAAATACCTTGTGGTTGCATAAATACTTAATACTAGTATTTATGTTTCTAATTTATTTATAAAATTCCTGAAATAGTTTTCCAGTACACTTCCTATCATGGAGTGTAATATCATTTTATCATAGTTCTTGCCCAGCTCTCCTGATGGTCTAAATAAGTAATGAAAACTTTTTTTTTTCTTATCAGAAAGGATGGGTAATGTGCTGGCTAGGTTTATGTCGACTTCACATAAACTGTGGTCATTTTGAAAAGAGAGAATTTCAGTTGATAAAATGCCCTCACCAGACCAGAATGTGGTGCATTTTCTTGATTGCTGATTTCTGTGGGAAGGTCTAGCTTACTGTGGACAGCGCCACTTCTGAGCTAGTGGTCCTGAATGGTATGTGGAAGCAGGCTGAGCAAGCCATGAAGACCAAGCCAGTAAGCAGTGCTCCTCTATGGCCTCCTCATCAGTTGCTGCCTCTGGGCTCTGTCTTGAGTTCCTGCCCTGACTTCACCAGGATGGACTATGAGCTACAAGCTTTCCTTCCAAGTTGCTTTTTGTCATGGTGTTTACCGCAGCAATAGCAACCTTAACTAAGACAGGTCATTTCTATTGTATGAAGTTTTAAGACCATATTTTTTCAGCCCACCAATTTTAAACTTGAAACTAGACCATCATCTTTCCCATACAGTTTAAAGGATATTTATTTCTATATTTCAAATTGCCATATCTTCCATTTATTTTAACAAAACTAGGTAATCCACTTTTCACAAATCGCCTGGATTTTTTCATCCTTGGGGACACCCCTGCCTGTCAGAGCCTGTCTATTGCTCTGGTGTGTGTCAGAGGATAAAAAGGTGGGAGTAGGCAGTTCACTGACATCCAGTTCTTTCATAGTGAGAGTGGTCTGGGCAGAAGGAGGTTGAGAAGCTGTAAGCTGAAGAGCACCACAAGTGAACTTCAAATCAGTGCTTTGGTGCTTGTCGCCCTTTAAAACTTTGAAGTGAAGTTTGAGAATGCTTTGTAAATCCACGTACACAAACTTGAAATGCACACATTTTTTAATTACAGCCTATCATTGTAAAACAATGTTATGTTGTCTCTTTTTTAATTTGTTCTGTGTGTTTCTGTGGGCATGTGCATGCAGCAAGGCACTGTTCCGCCAACCAGCTCAGTTCCTCCGGGTACCGGAGCCCCGTCTGTTGGGCAACCAGGAGCAGGATTTGGAATGGTGAGTGATGACCTGTGCCAAAAACCCATAGTTTACATTCCTGACATCTTTACACATTTCTCAAATGAGCAGGCATTCCTATGGTAAATACAGTAAAGGAAACCTCAACCTAAGGCATCTGCTTTGGGCCTCAGCCAGCCTGGACAGGAAGTGGGGAAACAGTTACAATGTATATAAATATATTGTCATCAAATTACAGTACATTGTTGTATCGTTTGGGAAATATATTTACTATGTATTTTAGCTCAGTTATCAAAATCAACCCTTTATATTCTGGGCTTTTCACTCTATACTTCTATCTTAGCATGTTTTAGGGCCATCCTGCTTCAGGACATTAGCTTTTGTCTCCTGAAGAGTTACTCTAAGTGGAGATGAGTACACAGCTCCTGATTGGCTTGAGGATGTCACATGGCCAGCCAGGCTTGAGTACACAGCTCAGGGACTTTTCCCTTCAACTGACAACCTCAACAATCAGAGTTTAAAATTAACATAATAAAGTCTACCGGTGTAGGTTTCTCAGAAATTGTCCAAAGCATGTAAAAGGTGTCCGTGTTGGGGTTTGTACTCTGAGGGTCCCAGACCTGCTCTAAGGCTTCCTTCCTTTGCAGCCTCCTGCGGGGACAGGCATGACCATGATGCCTCAGCAGCCAGTCATGTTTGCCCAGCCCATGATGAGGCCACCCTTTGGAGCTGCCGCTGTGCCCGGTACACAGGTCAGTTGCCTTGAGTTCACAGCACCAGGCATTTACCCTAAACATAAAACTGTCACGCTGTTCATAGTGTGAGGTACAGAGGCAAGAGGCACAGCTTCACGCCTCCACCCTCAGCAGCCTGAGGAGTTCTCCTAGGCTTTTAGGGTTTCAGGACAGACTGGGTTTTCTGGCTTGAAAAAAAAAATTATTTCTGGACTAGCCAGTATAAAACAGATAAAGATTTAACAGGAAGATTAAAAGAAAACTGCTCAGAAAGAAAGACACTGCTCAGAGCATAGGTGTAGGGTTCTCTAAGAGAGTGTCCCATTTCACTCCCAGGTAGATAGTTTGGGTGTGTGTGTAGCCACTATCTTGGAGGAATTCTAGGAGCATTAAGAGAGATCACTGGGTGGTTCTTGGGTGGCATCTGACAGGTTTGCAGTTGATAAGATTAAAGTCTAGATCGAATGGATACCAGAAAGTAGGGTATTTGTACTGTACATAGTGTTAACAGTTTTGTTTGAGACTACCCAGGATACTTCTTGGAAAACCCTATCCAAGGTTTAGGCCTTAAACATGGTCCATTGTTACTTAACATAAAATATCTATATATAAAAGGATTATTACTTCTATGTTAGCCTTCTCAGCAACTGTTTGTTGGGCTGTAATTCTTGCTTCAGTCAGACTCCAGGGTGAAGGATTCCTTTCCTGCCTCGTGGTACTTTCTCTGTCTCTCTATCCTGCCTCAGTGTGACTGTCTAATGGCCCTCTCTTAGCTGTTGCTTCAGGAGTAAAGGGACCTGGAAGCAGTGTACAGTGTGAGAATAGTGACAGAGAATTAATGAGCCTGGGGTCCTTCTTTTTTGTCCCCCTACTTGTGTCCCCACAGATACATGTGTCCCAGTGACAGGAATTTAGGTTTGAGGGTTGATTTAAAAAAAAAAAAAGATTGTTTCATGCAGCCCAGTCTGATCTCAAATTCACTATGTAGGCAAGATTAGCCTTACCTTCTGCATCCACTTCCCAATTGCTGGAATTGCAGGTGTTCACTACCACCCTCAGCCAAGTACAGAGTCACAGTTCTCCAAGCTGCAATATCTACCCAGAACTTCTAACAAACAACACTGTCTCCAAACCCTAGAGTCACCATTAAAACCCCTTGTCTTTCAGCACCAGCCACAAGTTTGGGAGCCTCACTTCAGACCAGTTGTATACAAAACCGGGATTCTCTCTTCCTGCTTAGATTTCCTTGTAGTGGCTCACAGAACTCAGGAACTTACAAAGTTTATGGTTAAAGTTTTACTGATATGAAAGTATACAAATTAGAAACAGCTGGAACAGCAGAGATGATAAAAGCATCTGGGAGAGGCCCAAGCATGAAACTGCTTCTAGCATCCTGTGAGACAGTGTTGCCAGCTGCAGAAGATCACTTAGGTTTCAGTATGGCATTAGTATGCCTCTCTTGATTGGATTACTACCTATGAGTTGAACTCAGTCTCCAGTCCCTCCCCACCCTGGAGGCCATGCTTGCCATTATGTGGCCTAAAGACTCAACAACATAATAACCAATTAGCCTTTCTGGTATGGCCAGCCTCCATCTGTTCTGAGTCAGTTTCACCATACATCATGGAAGAGCCCCTGTGAGTCACCTTGTTAGTATAAGCTACTGGGGTTGTCCTAGTTTGCTTTCTATTGCTGTGAGAAACACCATGATCAAAAGGACTTTGGGGGAAAGGTTTTATTTCAGCTTACAGTTTATAGTCTGTCATGAAGGGTTAGGTCAGCTCAAGTCAGGAAAGCCTGGAGACAGGATAAAGAGCATGGTGAGATGCTGCCTACCAGCTTGTTACACATGGCTGGTTCAGTCTGCATCCTTACACAATCCAGGGCTACCTGTCTCAAGAAGGCACCACCCACAATGGCCTAAGCCCCCCATATCAACAATTAATCAAGAAGATGACCCACAACCTTGTCTACCAATCTGATAGAAGCTCCTTCTCAGTTGAGGTTTCCTCTTCTCAGACCACCCCAACTTGTATCAAGTTGGGGAAAAAAACTAAACTGTTTATGTGGCTTCTGAAGCAACCATGAATAGCAAAGTCACACCTGTTGCTCAGGACATTATTAGGGTTTAGAGTTTATCTAGCAGGATCCAGAATGAAGGCAATACCTGTTTTTAGATTCCCTACTCTACAGAAGTGCAAAAGGCATCATGCCATTTAAATGTTTTGCTGCTAACACTGGCTATGCAGGAAGCCCCACCCCCACCCTTGGTTCTTCTTTGGAAAATAAAGAAGCCTATATAGAACCAGTAAACTTTTTCTCTCTAAGCAACTGGCCTGGACAGAGTGAGATAAATGGGTATTTCTGTTGTTTTAATCAGTAATTGATGTTCTAGTAAATCATGGGATAGCATGCAATATCTGTAACATTTATTTATTTATTTAAGCTTTTTCTTTCCTTAGTCAATTTCTCACTGTATGAACAATTTCTCAATTGTTCCCTGGATGGCTGGGAACTTAACTGTATAGATCAGATTGGCCGACACAGATCCATCTGCCTTTGCCTCCCTAGGGCTCGGATTAAAGGTGTGTTCCACCATGCCTGCCTAATATTTTCTCTATCAAAGAGAAAGCATACATGTCCTGTAGAAAAAGCAAACCTGCATCTACAGCATTCTTATGGAAAGCTGTTTTCCATTACCAATGCCTGGGCTATCTCACTGTGATTTTAGCTGGTTGTCATAATACTGTCATCTCACATGTAGATGAAGCCTTTGGTTTCTGCAGAGCACTTTCAAGTTTTAACATTGATTTTTTTTTTCTGACATTTCTGTGAAACTCTACCTCAGCTTGACAGATGTGAGATGGGTAGATACTGCAGTCAGTTGGTAGTTTGGGCAAAGGAACAGATTCAGGATTCTGGCTTCTGGAGCTATCCTTCCCAACCCACAGGCACAGACACCCTACCCCACTGTCCCAGATTTCAGGAAGTGCTATCATCTTGAGATGAACAGAGATGTCAACCATTCCTCCAGACATGCTGCCTGCAGGCTTTCTAAGGCTTTTCTCTGCCAATCCTGAAAAGTAGGGCCCCAGAAGTTTCTTATGCAGTTGATAATTACAGTGTTGAATAAACACAAAGATCTATGAGCCTTTGCTGCAAGCCCTGATGGACAGGGTATGAGGCTGGAAATGATTTGTTCATCTGATGTGCACACTGCCCAGAAGCTGTGTTTTACTGAGAAATGATCTATAGGAAGCACTAGCCTCGTTACCTATTAATTTAAAGTAATGTCTTACCTTACTATCTACAAACTTATGTCTGTTTCCCCTACAACTCACTCTTACTGTAAGAAAAGCCATATAATTCTTTTATTAATAGTTTGATGTTACTAATGATTCAAAGTAAGAATGCTTTCTGCATGGAGAAATTACTATGTTCTCTCTCTCTCCCCTAGCCCCTCCCCCTCTCTCCCACTGCCCCTCCCCCTCTCTCCCACTTCCCCTCATTGTATGTGTGTGTGTGTGTGTGTGTATGTGTGTGTGTGTGTGTTTTACTCTATATCCTCACATCTTCCTATCTCAAACTGTTCTCCCAGAGTCCCCATATTTCACCTTGGCTGAATCTGATGTCAAAGAATTTCAGGAAATGCAAACATCGTTCCTAGTGTTGTCCACTCTGGTTAAGCGCCACCCAGACTAAGTAGAAGGAACCAGCTGTATTAACTTTTAGCCGTCTGTTCCTCTGCATGTTTGTTTTCTCTGGTATATGTTCTGCCTAATGCTTACCTGTCTCTCTTGTGCTTTCTATCTCTGCTCTCTGGGGCTGGACTTTTCCCCATTAGCTTTCTCCAAGCCCTACACCTGCCACTCAGAGTCCCAAGAAACCTCCAGCCAAGGACCCATTAGCGGATCTTAACATCAAGGATTTCTTGTAAACAATTTAAGGTATCTGATATTGAGCTTTTCCTGTGAGCTTGTAATAGTGAGCTTGTGCGATGCTTAACCGTTCCAGGTATGAAATCTGTTACTTCTGTGTTATAGATAAAGGATGGATGGATGGATGGATGGATGGATGGATGGATGGATGGTTGGATAGAGGATGATTGATAGATAACAGATGATAGATAGATATAGATAGCTATAGATAGATAGATAAGTTGAATGTTTAGAGTTTTAAATTTGAAGTAAAAACCTGTCCTTGTCAGTGCATTTTTAAAACCTTAATTTGTTAAAACTGTAGCAGATAAAGCTCCATCATTTGTTCTTATCTTGAAAAGCACAAAAACCATGCCCGTGAGGCACAGTCTCCCAGGCTTCTAAGTTAACTGGGAGATACCGCTGTGTCCCTGATGACTAGACTTCATAAGATGCCAGCATTTATAGTACTAGATTTAGAAGTCATTTAAAAATACACTTGGCTACATAACCACTTCCTTCCATTATCCTTATTTTTGATCTTAAGGTAAATGTTAAAATTCATAACCCTTTGCATTTATTCAAGCTGAATTTTAATTTTCTGGCAATATAGTTTTATATTTCATAAATTTAATTTACCAAATGGTTCACAGGGAACACGAGGAAGAAAATGGGTGGAAGGGAATACTAACTCTCAGTCCCAGCACCTAACGTAGTCGGTAGCTGATTACAGACATGCTCAGCCTTACTTTACATATTCACTCAGGATTTTCCATGTCAGTTTTTTGCTGTTTGATAGCTGAAAGAACTTAATCCTTGAGCATGAAGTAATTTTTCAAGATCCAGCCAGAAGAATAGCAAGAATGTAGGAACTTTGGACCACAGTGCTGTGTGATTTCTATGATACATCCACTGCCAACATACATTAGATGATGACTTTTTGTGTGCATGGAATCTTATCGTATAATTATTTCCTTAGATAAAATTAACAGTAGCCAGGCCTGGTCACCCAAGACTTTAACACACTGGAGGCTGAGGCAGAGGATTGAGAATTCAAGGCTAGCCTGGGCCACATACTAAGAATCAGTTTTAAATGAAACTATTGATACACCATTTTAATACCCTGACACCTCAGTGGAGAGGTTTTTTTTCCTTCTGTTGGTTCCTCTTGAATTAAGACCAGGTAGGCATGTAACACAACACATATCTCATCAGATTCTTTCAGGACTGCTTAGAGAAGTCTCTTACTCAGAAGCATCATTCTCTTCATGTGCTAGAAGCCTTGCTAAGTGAGACACAGGGGGTTTTAAGATAGGCCCTGTCCCAGGATCCATACCTCAGGCAGACAGACAAACATTTGATGGAGAAGAGATTGCTTCTGACCATAGCAAGGATTCCTCAAGAGGAACAGCATGTGAAGGATGTAGACAGAGGCAGGAGAGAAGGCCCAGCGCCCAGGGCTCACCATCTTTTACAGTCCACTCTTAGGCAATGGTTAAGTGGCTCATCAACAGACGTGGCAGTAATGGCAACAGTAATGACAGCCACTATCCTTCCACCTGTCACCACCCATACGGACTAGCTCTTGGTTGAGACTGAGATTGCTAGGAAGTGTCGAAGTTTTAAAGATTACTGATTTTTTTTTTCCTAAAACACAACTATACATAGAATTGTTTAAGTTTCCAGAGTGAGTTTTTATGTTTATCTCAGTTAAAAAAAAAAACCTATAAATGTGAATTTGTTAAATCTCAAACTCTTATTGTGTACAGGTGTTTTGCACCATAAAGAGAAAGTGGTAAGGGGGGTGAAATGTCTGTATCTTTACACGTGCTCTGTGTTTTCTAACTCAGATACTTTTTTTTTCTCTTTACAGCTGCAATTTTTGTGACTGAATAGGAAAAAAAAATAACCTGAGTTTGGAAACTTCAGATAAGATTGATGCTCAGTTTCAGAGTGAGCCACCAGTACAAACCCAGTGCTGACTCGTAACCTCCTCTCCCAAACACACAGCCCCGCTGTGACAGTGAACATTAGGAATGTGTACTACTTTAGCTGTTACCCTACTCTCCAGCTCGTAGCGTATTCGGGTTCTTTGTGTGTTGTACGTAAACAATGAGTGAATGGTTCCAATGCCTTTAGTGCTTTTCTGGACGTTGCCCGTGGACGGATGATGACGCAGCTGTTATGTGGTGAGCCATTTGGAAAGATGTGTCTGTGTTTTCGAAGGTTTCGATGTATATATAACTTTTGGACAAACTCTCAAGTCCTCCCATGAACTCTCTCTTCTCTTCTGTACCTCTGTTACAAGCGTAATGTGATACTATCAGCTAGTGAGGAAAACACTCTTAACTATACAAAAACTTTTTCGGTGTGGAGTACTTTTTTCCAATCACAGAAACTTCAACTTGTTGTGAGAAATGTTTATTTTTGTGCGCTGTATATGTTAAGAAATTTTATTTTAAAAAAAAAACCTGAAGTTTAATGTCCATAATAAAACTTCTCTTTGATGATGCTACCTTATCAAGAATGAGAAAAATCATATGAGAAGAAGTCCATATTTATCACTGCTATATTAAGATATATATTTTAATTATATTTGCAGGGTTTGCATCTAAATTGACCTATTTATTCGTTCTTGATCAAAGGCACTGAAAAGTGGAGCTTGTTTCTATCGTGTCTGTGAAAGTGCAATTAGAGATGTGCTGTTTATGTGACTATGAACGTGCCCCAAGAGACATCTGTAACTTAAAGAGAACTGCAAATATTTTTTATTTCAGTGTGGGTTTACATACATCTGTTCAGTTAGTATTTCTTTGTGTGTTCTATAGAGTAGTGTTTTTCCATCCTTCGATTGAGCTCAAAGTGACTTCTATTGTACCTTTGTGATAGGATTGAAACCAATTCAGCGAATTGTATCTTTTAGTGTACATACTGTATTCTTTGATTTTCAGTTTGTTGTCATACTGTCTGTGCCGATGGCTTGGCTGAAGATTTTGATGCGTACACAAGGTCACTGTTGATCAGTGTTGTTTAGTGGCTTGGCAGCTCTTTGTAAAAGCATATTGGGTTGGAAAGGCATTTGCCTATTTTTCAAATTATTTAATAGATGTATGGTACCCTTTAAAGTGGTTGTATCTGAATTTACTGTGGGGATAACATACACTGTAATGGGGGACAATTACCTAAAACCAATTTCAAAATGGCTTTTCTTTGTATTTTGGTTTAAAAGCCCAGTGCATGTCTGCCCTCTGAGATGCAATAAACACCTTGAACCAAGAAAATGCAAACGTAATCTTTCTGTCTTTGGTTACTTTTTAAGGAAAAGATACATGTCAGATGGAACATGCATACAATATTGAAGGTACTAGAGAGTACTATGCAAACGTAATCTTTCTGTCTTTGGTTACCTTTTAAGGAAAAGATACATGTCAGATGGAACATGCACACAATATTGAAGGTACTAGAGAGTACTTAAGAGTATGTACTGCTTCTAGAGAGAGCAAGGCTTTGGTCTAGAGTTTGAACCAAAACCCACATAGGGTAGCTTACAACTGCCCGTAACTCTAGCTCTGGGGAGAACCAATGCCTCTGGTGCTTGCCCCCCATCCCCATACACATCCATACAAATATAAAATTAAAAATAAAAATCCTTAAAATATTTTGATAATTTAAATATTTTATCCGTTGCAATATAGTTTCGTTTTGCAATGAAACAAATCAATTTTAAAGAACTGTCATTCAACTTGGGACTCCATCATACCTAGAAACTACTTTAAGTTCTATATTTCAAAATATATGTTTACTTTTAGGTATTCTTTTAAAACATGCAAATAAAGGTTTTTGAAGTGTGAGAATTTCCATGGAACTTAAACAATAAAGTAGCCGAGTCCCGGTTTGCATACACACTTGAATATTAATATTGTCATCACATAAAACTTACCCTGGCCTGTTGTAGTAGAACTGGGTGCCTACAGCTAGCTTGCTCTAGCATCCCCAAAATATAGTTCAGTGTTGGGACTGGACTGTAGCTTAGTAACAAAGCTCTCCCCTAATAATGGCCAAGACCTTGGGTTTGATCCTAAGCACACCAAACACACACACACACACAAACACACACAATGCCCAATCTCATGTAGGAGACTATTTTAAAACTCATTTCCTTTTGGTTGCCTCAGATTTATTATATCCTGAGAACTTACTCTCAGAAGCTAGCATCAGATCATGTCAGGTGATTATTTTTTAAAAATATATATTTATTTATTGTATGGCTAAGAGAGTTTACCTGCATACATGTGCATACCTGGATCCAATGGAGGCAAGAAGGAGTATATCAGATCTCTCGGAACTGGAGTCACAGATGATTATAGGGCACCAGGCGGGTGCTGGGAGATGAGCAGACGGCTCAGCAGTTCAGAGCACTCGCTGCTCTCGCAGAGGACCCTGGTTTGGTTCCAGCACACTCATGGAAGCTCTCAACAACCTACATTTTGCTCCAATTGCAAATTGGATTTCAAGGAATCCATTGCCCTCTTCTGGCCTCCAAGGGTGTCATTGTGAACAGAAACTAAGGCAAGCACACAAATGCATAAGATTGTGTGGGGTGTGTGTGTGTGTGTGTGTGTGTGCATTTGTATGTATGTACGTGCATGTGTGTACATGCATATTCCTAAATTTAACTGGCTCAGTCTGTATAACGTTAGTGGTTTGTATAAGTTCAGTGTGGCCCGCGTGTAATCGTCTTGCCAGCAAGAACACACGTGGACACCACACTAGGATCCTTCCGCAGCAAACGTTTATTCCAAAAGAAAATGGAGGAAGACCCCAGGCCGGAAAAGGCACTGCTTATATACCCTTAGAGCGGTGTGTTCACCTCTGATTGGCTGCTTACTCGTTGCCCGCCAAAACGCCCTGGGATGGGCTTTGACTTTGGCGCGCTTTTACCATAGCACAGGCGCAGTTTACTTGTTTACTAGGAGGAGCACCGGATGCCAGCGCCATCTTGCAATGGCGAATTCTGCCAGCACAAGCCGCGGCTTCCTACAGTTCAGGGTTGCCTGTTAGATATTGGATAACCAGTGGAGTGCTCTCCCCTAGGGAAGACCAGCTCTCAGGCTCTCAGCAGTCCTTAGCTGCCTGTGATCCTTTGTCACACACCTCTTTAAATTAGACTTAGCAAAAGGTAGCTATGCTCCCTTTTCTACTGATACATTCTATCTGTTAGAAAACGGCATGGCAGGCATCTGCTGGGGCAGTCCACTGTGTATCAGTGGGAGATAATTGTCATATTAGAGAAACAATGTTGATCTGACAGGCCCTGAACGGGTCAGGGAATCCTTAGGAAGCCACCCACCATAGTTAAAGTACCTTTGCTTTAAATGTAAAAGACTTGTTAAATGTGTCTATCAGTCAGTAGACTAGCATGGGGGAAAGTTTAACCTTACCTCCACCTTTAGTTGAGACCTCCCAAAAGCCGGACTCCCAGTCTGTGTTAGTGAGGCTGAGGCTTATGCAGGAATGTTAGTGTCTAACCACACAGAAGGGAATTCCCAGTTCAACCCACGGTTGCCTCAGGCAAATTGCTTAAGATCTTTAAGCTTTCATTTTTTTTTCTTCTGTGGAATGAGGCTCCGTCTACTTGTGTACATATTATATGAGATAATGAATGGAAGACACTTGGCACCATGTAACACTCGCAAACACTGCTGCTCCTACTTTTAAAAATTACTCTGTGGGCTGAAAAGATGTCTCAGCAGTTAAACACAGAGGACTCAGGGGTTTGATTCCCAGCTCCCAAGTGGCAGCTCACAACTGCTTGGAACTCCAGTCCCAAGGATTTCAACACCTCTTCTGGCCTCTGCAGCTACCAGGAGCACTGCCAGACACAAACATAGATGCAGACAAAACACCTATAAATGTCAAATACATTTACAGTATTTTTAATTGCTGTGATTATTTTTGCTATAGTTTTTATTTTTTCCATTGTAAGAATGGTAAAAGATAAAGAACAAAAACTACCATGGAAATGGTGGAGGTAGTAAGATTCCACAGTAAAGCACAGGCACAGAAGTATGTGTTTTGAAGTTCAGTAAGTGTAAGTAGGTACTTGTCCCACATTAGCACAACTACATGGAACACTGAGCTGTATATGTAAACCAGCCAGAAGGCAGTGTCAGCCAGATACATGTAGTAGATCCAACGCAAAATTTAAACTCATCCTAGAGATCCCTTCTTAAGTCTCTCACTGTCTGATGTCAGTAAGGGCAAATGTGAATACTGCTAATGGTTGCTATGGCCAGCAACTGAAAGAGTTTCTTCTGAGAGATCAGAAAGTTTCAAAAACTTTGTACTGACAGCCATCTTTTAATCAAGAATAATGTGATGATGGCTTAGCCAGAGATGGAGATGCTATCCTGAGGGAATGTAACAGAGTTGAGCCAATGACTGCAGCCCTCAGAGATGGAGGAGGAAGACAAACTTTGGGGAAAGCCTGTGCTACAAGTGACTATAACATAACACAGCACTCACACTTGCAGAGTACAGCCCTGCATGGGATCAAGGCCAGGAAGTGTCCCCTCGAGGAAAATCTGTCAGTAATCATCTGCTTTGCTGCTAAACCAACTTCTTTTTAAAAGATGTATTTATTTATTTTATCTATGAGTGGTCTATCTGTATGAATACCTGCAAGCCAGAAGAGGGCATCAGATTACATTATAGATGGTTGTGAGCCACCATATGGTTGCTGGGAATTGAACTCAGGACGTCTGGAAGAGCAGCCAGTGCCCTTAGCTGCTGAGCCACCTCTCCAGCCAGCATTTAATACTAGATTCTGCTCCAGATGCAATAGCCCTGCAGTCTGCTTCCTCCCTCTCTTTCTCTTTTTAATTTTGCTATTGAAACAGTCTTACTATGTATCCATCTGTGGCCTAGAATTCACTGTGCAGACCAAGCTGTCCTTAAACTCAAGAGATCCTAATACCTCTGCCTCTCAATGGGGACTAAAGGCAAGCACTTCCACCCTGATATGTTACGTGTCCCATTTCTTTCAGTGCAAGAAATATCTTTGAGGTAAATTAACTCATTTTATTATGGGAGGTGGGGTTGTTTGGTTTTGTTTTATCTTATTTTTATAATAATATATTTTAAAACCTTAAAAAGTTAAACATATACAGTCTGAAATGTTAATTTAAACATGTCCCAGGGAATATTGAAGTTAATTTTAAAATCATCTGTACTTTGGAGCATGAATTTCAACAGTATATTAAACAGTATATTTTAACAGGATATTAAATTTTGACGATGTATATAATATTTCAAATGTAAATTTGAAGTTACTTTTTTTTTTTAAATTCCTGACTTTCTTTCAGTGAAAAAAAAAATGTTTTCAAGTGAAGTTAAAAGGACCATTTAAGTCCATGGCAGAAAAACAAAGCATCAGTCACCGTTTCTCAAAACAAAATATAGTAGTGACATACTTCGTGTCTTAATGAATCAGTCACTGGAAATCCATAATCATTTTCACTTTCTTGCCAGGCCTTCTTTCTTTCTGGATTGAGCATTTTATGTCATTACCATAAGCACAGGACCATTTATTTGTTTATTCACTTATTTATCCATTCATTCATTCATTCATTCATTCATTCGTTTGTTTGTTTGTTTAGCATACATGTCTATGAATTAACTTCTATTTTTCCTCCAAGCTAGTTTTTCTTTCTTTGTTGTCTCCCAAGCCCAGCATCCATAATTCTAAACTTCTTCATTCAGCAGCCAAGAAGTGTCCTGAACATCTTCCTTCCTTCCTTCCTTCCTTCCTTCCTTCCTTCCTTCCTTCCTTCCTTCCTTCCTTCCTTCCTGAGACAGTTTTACTATGTAGCCTTTCCTGGCCTGAGTGCCAGAGGCAAGGGAATGTCAGGGACCAGTCTGGCATTCAGGTACACTGAGGTAGGCAGCGACGGGTGGATGGATGGCGGTGATGGTTGCAATAGCAAAAGTTGCTTACTATTTGTAAATTTTCTCTTCCTTTAACTTTTCCCACCCCCTCCATCCCAGTCTCACCCCCCATCCCCACTGGCCAGGTGAGAGGCTTGGAGTTCGATACACTTCATGAGCTTTTAGACAAAACGGTCTCTATGTCAGAAAAAATTACCTCATAGATAAAACGTTCCATAAAAGGAGAGTTACAGAAGGATATTGATAGAAAGATTCAAGCAGTGTTTCATTCTATAAGCTCATTATAAGTTCAAAGCAACAGTTTCACATGGCCTTGCTTTATAATAGAGCACACCTGTCACCTCATCCTTGAACTGACTTTGAATGTTTTTCCTTGGTCACAATTTTGTTCCAAGCCTGCTTTCTTATCCTAGTGCAGTTGGCCCATGACATGTGAAGCTTTGCCAAGCTCTGCTTGTAGTTTTATTCTATAGGGGGCTAGAGTTCACATGTATCAGTGTAAGAGTTCTATAAAATTATTGTTAGAAATTGTGAAACCATCAATTTGTCTATACAGTATTACTGTATGAAAGTACATCTTCACATTAATTCTGCAGGAAATCTGCCCAGGAATAATTAGACTATGTAATGGTGACAGGAAAGGCATATCAGCTGCAAGAAGCAACCCTGGGATAAAGTCTCTGGTGACCTTGCATCTCAGAGCTCACCCGTCACCTGCCATGCAAAACAGTAGACCATCTCCAGAAAATTCACTTGTAAGTGTTAGCCTTTCCTCGATATCTTCTGCTGGGGGAGCCTTTCAGTTGTGAGAGAGACACATGGCCATGATTGGAAACCAACCAAGAGTTTAATCAGACCTGGAATGCTGAACTCATTCTTGGGGATTTGGGGTGGATCTCCATGGATCCTGCCCTGGCATCTGGGTTTCTAAGGTAGTTCCCTGCATCATTCTTACTATTAATCAAATTTGGAAGCCTTTACATTAAGGGAACCTGTTATACTATCTTGAATCCAGTGGGTGCACAGTCTGAGGCTCTAGTTGAATATGATAGATTCTAGCAAAAGAGATTTTCTAAATACTTTATAATATGAAAGTCATGGAGTCCTTGTTTCCTCCAGCCTAAGAATGGAGAAATGTACTTACCAGTCCTGGAAAGGTGATTCATATCACATGATGGCCTATGTGCCTCTGCCAAAAGCAAGCTTTAATTTAGGTCTAGGGATGCTGTGATCTGTGGGTGGATGACTGCTCAAGACATCCATTTAAGGAGCCACATCAGTCACATCCTGGTCACATGGGGTGACACACTGGCTATTTGGTGGGTACAATGGTGTCACTTATTTCTCCAAGCCACAAGGCCTTCTGGCGTAAGTGTTCCAAGTGCAGTGGCAGAATACTAAATTCAGCTCTCTCTTAAAAATACCAACTTTTATTTTCATCCCATGGCTGGGTAAAGTGGTACTTCTGTTTTGTGATAGGATCTTGGCTCTGAGCATATCCTAACCTTGCAAGCTGGAAGTTTAAGAATAGCACAGCAGTGGGCAAGGGAGGAGATCTACCTTTAGACAGAGACCACATCACACTGGTGTCCTGGCTCATGAATCAGCACAGGATCATTCCTCTACACCTATGCCAGCTAGCTCTTCAGGGAAACATGACTGCCAGTCTGCTGAGAACATTTCAGCCGATCTTTATGAATATGAGATGAAGTGGAGCATAGTTGGTTATAGGAGCATACATATGCAACGTTATGATGATAATCTCTAGAATCATGTATTATATTGGAAAAGAAGGAAGGAAGGAAGGAAGGAAGGAAGGAAGGAAGAAAGAAAGAAAGAAAGAAAGAAAGAAAGAAAGAAAGAAAAGACAAAGAAGAAAAAGACAGAAAAAAACCCATTCTTTCCATAAGTTGCTTTTGTTGGGTATTTTATCAACAGAGAAAACACCTGATAACAGCGACTGTATATGTACCACCCCAAAGAAAATGGGTCTTCTTTTCAGTATGTGTTCCTCTTCTACTGGAAGCAATGATTAAACGCCTTTCAGTGAGATGAGTGTTAAAGGCAATACATTTCAATTGAATGTTAGTTAATTGATTATTTTCTAAAATCCTTTAAAGTATCTATACAAACACAGTAAGTCATACATTTTATTCCTTAATTTTATTGAATTATTTTTAACAACCCACATTATAAAAGAATGCCACATATTTTGAGCACCATTTACGAAGTCATCATGATAACCCAAATGAAGATACTCCTTTGCATACTAATCAAGACTAGAACAGAAAACAAAAATAAGAAACAACAGCATCTCTTAGTTTGTGGTCTTTATTAGGACACGTCTAAAAGAAAAGAGGTTTTTACTCTGGCAATGAATTGAGTGAGGGAAAATATGTGGCCTTAGAAATTGCCAGAAAGAGTAGACCAAAGATTGGGTCTTTGGTTACTTAAATTTTAGGGTGTACTTGATTATATCATCAAAACCGTTTAAGCATAATGCCCTGACTTAACCCCCTGTTTATAACCATCCACCACAGCTGTGTTTGCTCACCAGGCGCGTCCTGAATTCCTGCTCTGCATTTTGCTCTAGGGTGGTACACAGGGACTGCTTAATGCTACTTGGGAGGGAGGCAGAGCAAGGATGCCACCTTGGTCCCTTATGAGAAGCATTAGAACCTTCTTTGGTACCTCAGGGTTGAGGGGAGTGGGTTCTCTTTTGAAAAAGACTTCAAAATACCTCACTTTAAAAATATAGCACCTCACACACAGCAGAAAGCACAACACAAAATGGCATGGCTTTCGCCAGAGGACGGTAGCTTGTGAAATTTCGTCTCTGCATGCCTCACAAACATCGTATTTTAAGACTGTAAAACTTGAGATCTTAGAGTGTCTCAGCTTTCAGTGTCTGTAAACTTGGTTCATTACACAGAACAATGTTTCTCCAAATTTTAGATGGACATGGCTGGTGTTGGGTTTTTAAAGCCACCGTTAATAGTTTTGTTTATGCAGCTCACTAGTCTATTTGATTTGTAATTTTTATATGTTTTGATCTATAGTTCTTGAAATAAGTTTCTCAGTACCAAGAGACGACACATATAAACACTGAGGGCAAGAATGGGATGGCATCTAATCGCATTGCAAACTAAACCTCCTGCCTCCCCTAACTCTAATTGTGTTACTGTAAATCTTCCTATTTTCCAGAAAGGTTGAACACATAACTACACCCTCCTAAGTTCTTCCTAGGATAGGACTCAAGAGCTAGTCATTGAGAAGTCACGTTACAGTTCTAGTTTGATATTTTTAAGAGTGTCTGGTATCCAAAGGCCCAAGTAAACAAATGGTTTCCCCCAAAATGAAACTTACCGCCATCTAAAGAGTATATACTTGTCGCTGAAGTGCCATCTAGTTTCAGTATCTGTAACTAAACATTTTAACTGTGCGAAAGTTACCTAATTTTGATAAACGAAGTCTGTAAAAACGCTGTAAAAAACCACTGATAGACCAAGTCCAGGCACAGCCTGTGAGTGGTCTCAAAATGAGAGCTGGCTTTCTCTGGGATTCAAGATGGGCATGAACTCGCTTCACTTTTTCCCTCAGCCATAAGCACAGTTGGCAGCGTTTCCGTGGATCCAGAGGCAAATCTGGGCGTACTTGAGCGGAGTGATGCGCACAGCCACGTTATAGTCCTTCTGAACTCCATGCACATCCACCCACTGGTGGCCCGAGTAGACCGCGATGATTTTGCGCTTCCAATTTTTTTGACCTGGCTCTTTGAGCCTCAGGTAGATCCCAGAGCCGGTGGAGCCTGCCTCAGCATCACAGTACTGATACAGGAGGTCATTGGATTCCTCGGAAACACTGCAAAACCGATACACCAACTGATCATCCCTGTCGTTGTCAAATCCAGAGAAGTGGATCCGGCCTCCCGGCAGCTTGGTGATGGTGGGGCTGACTCCCAGCTCCATATGCTGCTGCTTTTGTGCGCGCTTCAGCTCCAGGAGCGCATAGTCGTAGTCCAAGGCCGGGTCCCCTTTCTCTCCCCTCGCCCAGCCTTTGGGAATGTGGGTGCTCTTGACGCGGGTCCATTGGAAAGAAGGCCTTCCTTGGGCGACTTTCAGACCCCGCCTGGATTTTTTTCCCGGTTTTTGGGTGGTGCTCTCCGGAGGATGGTCCTGACTTTGGCCACCACTCTCCGCTTCTCTCCGGCTCCTCTTGGAACCTCTGCGTTTCTTGCGGCCTCCTTTATTTCTCATCTTTAGCACCCCTACCCTCAGCTTTTTACTGCCTTTGACATAGTCCTTCCCGTCGTGGACACAGTGGGCAGCTGTGAGCACATGGTTGGGGGAAATGAGGGCGCCGCTGCAGCCGGTGGACAGCTTCACTGCTGTATTAAAAGGGAAATTGGTCAAGAACCTTTTGTCTAAGATGCTGAACCTGCTGTCCGTACCGTACACCTGCCTCCTTCTCCTAGGGCGTGCTCCTTTTATGCTGCTGTTCTGAGTAGGTTCCAGGACCAGACCTTGAACTTTGACCCTGGTTAAGGTTCGAGTGCCATTTTCGAAGACCGTCTCATAGGAAAGAGAGTCTTCCAGCTGGGAAAGGCTGGGACCAGGGAGCTCTTCCTGACATTCGATGCCACACACTGTGGTCTTCACCACCCCAGCATCCGCCTGGAACGTGGGGCTGCCCAAACGAATAGTCTTCTCACTCACAACCTGGGGTATTCTGCTCAAGTGCCATGTAAAATCTGGTTCTGTTTCAGACCCATCAGAGAGGGCCCACCCAGGGATGAAAATTATCAGCCAAAATAAAGTATTTTCCATCTTGTTCTTCTATTTTGCCCTTTAAAAACAAAAAAGAAAAAGAGTGTTTTTAAGTGTTGTAAATGTTATTTATGTCTTTCTGCATTAGGTCCTGAGTGTACCACCACCATGAATAGATCCTTGTTTTCATCTGCCTTAGACTTCCTGGACATTTAATCTATACCCATGACAGACATCCAAAATCAGTAAGGAGTTTCTCCCTATTCTCTCTCTCTCTCTCTCTCTCTCTCTCTCTCTCTCTCTCTCTCTCTTCCCCTCACCACCTACCTCCCCAGACAACCCCATCAGGGACAGAGAGTGGACTCCCGTCAGGAAGTCTCAACCCCACAGCTTTTCCAGATACTTATTGCTCCAATGCTCATAAGTAGAGACAGAATCAGACACCCTGCAGTTCTTCCTATGTGCTTCGCTCTTTAAAAACGGGACTATGATGTCTTCAAGTCTAAGATGTAAATGACCATAAGACTTCAGAAACATGCGTTGGAGTTCACAACTTCCCTGAGCCAGGGTTTGCAGGAGACGCTACTGTGAAGATGTGCATCGGATGATGTTGTGAAGCAGCAGAGGTTAGACCCAGGTGAGTTTTTCTGCTTACCACCTGCTCTGATTTCAAATGTATACATATACACATCACACATCCACACCACAACACATACATATATACAACACAACACACATGAACGCCATGCAGAACACAACACAAACACCCACACATACACAACACACACATACACAACACACACACACACCACTCACATACACATGCACACCAGACACACATCACACACAAACACACACAAATACCACACCACACACATACACATCACATACCATACACATGCACAGAAAGCCCAGGGCTTCATACATGCTAGCAAGCACTCAAATGCTTTTTTCTCCTATTACTTTTTATTTGAGACACTGACTCTGTCACCTAGGCTGGCTGTGACCTTTGATCCTCCTCGATGAGCCTCCTCAGTAGCTGGGACTTTAGGCCTTTGTCACTAAGCCTGTCCCCTCCTTTGATTTTTTTTCTTTAGAATATATTTTATTTATTCATTGACAATTTCCTACAAAGCTACAATGTAACTTAACCTTACCTGCCACAAAAGAGCCCCCCATGTCCCCAACACCTCACCCTCACACCTTCATGTTGTTGCTTTTGATTTTTGTAACCACTAAGTCCAGTGCTATCTGCTGGGACTTCCGCTATTCTTGCTGCCTGCTCTTTTGAGGCTCTGGTAAGGTAACTATAGCTGCCGTAGGTTCTCTCTCATTTTTACAGACTCCTTCACCATAAAAAGGAAAGACACAGAACAGACCATCTGATACTGAAAATAAAGTTTTGAGTGGAAACACTACTTATGCATTCACGGTGAAATTCTGTATGAAAATTAGTTTACAAATTAGGGAAGCGCAGTGGGTGGTTCCTGACTCACCACTTGGAGATTGTGGTCACACTATGCCCTCTTTCCATCATGGCTCTCATCACCTGAGCTTTGCTGATGTCAGATATACTTAAAGTTGCTAATATGTGATAGGAAATATGATGCCTCTCTATTGTTTGCACTGTTTCCTCTTTTCCAGATGGGTAGGCGTGTAAGCATTTAAATGCATGCACTTAGTAGGGCTGATGTTCACATACTACTGCTTGAGCCATTCCTTGGAGCTCAGTTTTGAACCACTCTGTTAGGTGTGACCTATCATTCAGGTAATTTGTAACTAGTACTTTAAAGAACCAGGTTTAGTAAATGATTATTACATTGTACAATTCAGAACTCCCCTGGAGCTGAAGTTACAGGTGGTTTTGTGGGGGTCGGGGAGGGAGTTGTTTGTTTGTTTGTTCTTGTTCCTGAAACAGAGTTTCTCTGCCTTGGCTGTCCTGGAACTCTATCGGTAAATCACATTGGCCTTGAAATCACAGTGATCTGCCTGCCTGTCTCTGCCTTTGCCTTCCCTCCCCAGTCCTGGGATTAAAGTCATACACCACCACCATCTACCTGACGACCTTGTTCATAGCAAAATTTCAGTCAAGAAAGGTTTTTGTTTTTGAGGGGTTTGGGTTTTTTTGTTTTGGTTTGTTTTGGTTTGTTTGCTTGCTTGCTTGTTTGTTTGAGGCAAGGTTTCACTATGTAGCCTTGGCTGGCCTGGAACTTACTTTGTACACCAGGTTGACCACAAACTCAAAAAACATCTGCCTGCCTCTGTTTCCCCAGTGCTGGGACTAAAGGCGTATACTACCATGCTCAGCTCAAGAGAGTTTTAAGATTTGAGATACAATTTTTTTTTAAAGATTTATTTATTTATTATATATGAATACACTGTAGCTGTCTTCAGACACACCAGAAGAGGGCATCAGATCTCATTACAGATGGTTGTGAGCCACCATGTGGTTGCTGGGATTTGAACTCAGGACCTCTGGAAGTGCAGTCAGTGCTCTTAACCACTGAGCCATCTCTCCAGCCCCCAACAATTTTTTTTTTTCCATTTTGATGGTGCTAGAAATTGAACTCAGATCTTGGCAAACATCTTATCACTGAACCCATTAAAATTATATTTGAGATGAAGTCTTGCTAAGTAGCCCAGGATTACTTAAAAGTCATAATCTTTTTGCCTCAGTCAATTAAGAAACTGGGATTATAAATATGTTCCATCAGGCCCAACTACAAATTCCTACAAAGTTGCTTTTTAATGTAAGCCCTTCACAACAACTATCCATTATGTACTTAATACACAATTACATCAAAGACTGAACATCACCAACTAGCCACACCAAGATATATGGAATCTTTGCATATTTTTACATGTGATTATCTATGCAGTAATAAGCAAGTAGCAATCATTCTCGGGTAAAATCCAGGCTAGCTGTTTGTCCATCTTATGGAATTGTTTTCCTGCTGGCTTTTCCAGTTCTTTTAGTCTTACAACTTTTAAACTAGTTGGAGATTAGAGAGATGGAATGTAAATCCAGTGATAACTGACAAGATGGATTTTACCACACCAATTACAAACTCAAACATGACGATTCATGTACCCTTTGGCTCCCAGCCAGACTTTTAAGAGTGGCTTATGAGAATTCAATTGTTTTCATGTATAACTTATTGGCTTTTGTCTCACACTGAGTTTTAACTCTGTTATCTGAGCCAAAGGTCACAGCCAATACTTTTGAAAATTTCAATCCTGTCAGTTGCTTCTAAACCATACTTGATAACAGACTCAGCCGGGAGGACATAGGCATGTATTTCCCAGTGAGTGGATACTCAGATAGGCAAACTCCCAACCACTAATAATGGTGCTGGGAGCCTATATCATGGTGGCTCATCAAAGGGTGCATTATATAAGACAGTATTCCTAGGGCCAGCGCAGTGATACCTGAGAATTCTTTAACAATGTGATTTCTTGAATCCTGAACTTCCTTTAATGGAGGGCAACATTGATCTGAGGTAACTCTAGTCCTTTCATTACCTAATATGGAGAATCTCTTCCAGATTTTCTCTTTCCTCAAGGGAAAGTGAAGATACAGCTCAGCCATTAGGAGCTCATACTGTGCTTGAAGAGGACCCAAGTTCAGTTCCCAGCACTTCCATCAGGCAGCTCACAATCACCTGTAACTCCAGCTCCAGAGAAATCTGAAACAATTGGCCTCCATGGGCACTGAACTGACATGCACATAGCATGTGTCACACAGACACTCGCACAAATATAATTAAAGATAAATTTTTTAAAGTTTTCAACAAGAGATGTGGATGAACAAGAGGTAAAAATGAGAAAGCATGCTTCCCTGTTGACAGTCAGCTATGAGAAGCCAAAAACAATGTCATCTTGATGTTCCTGTCTCAGTAATGTGTCTGCTCTCTTTATGATGCAAGCTGAGCATCCCTAGAAGAGTTCTTGTCTGCCATTTTAACCTTTCAAACATGTGCTCTATGACCTTAATCTAAGCATCCTCACCTCAAAAAAACAAACAAAAGCAATATATATATACACACACACACACACACACAAATATGTCTTCCATCTCTCCTTCATGAACTGTTATCTTAAACTGCTCAGTAATGTGTTTGCTCTTGAAGAGTTTTCTGATATGAATATTTACAGGATCCACAAACCATGCTTCTTTTATTTGAGGAATGCATTGCTTTGGAATCAAATCCAATGTTCTTGCCTGCTGTAGCAAGTAATAAACCTTTCTCCACTCCTTAACAACAACAAAACACAACACAAATTATCAAAGCCTGCCTCACACCTCCTGTTAGAGTGTCTCCTAGAGGTACTAGAGAGAGATGATGGTTCAGTCGTTAAGAGCAAGTGTTGCTCTTACAGAGGACCTAGGTTGAGTTCCCAGCACCCACATGGTAGACCACAACCATCTATAACTCTTTTCTCCAGGGTATCCAATGCCCTCTTCTGACTTCCACAGTCACCAGACATGCATGTGGTACACAAACAGGCAATACACTCATAGGCATAAAACAAAATAAATAAATCTGAAAGGAATTAGAATCTCCCATGGAAGGGCTTTGGGTTCCTCAGAAAACTGTGTTTTAACCAGACTTCCAGATGCCTTAGAGACTCAAGGAAGACAAATGACACTGGAGCAGCCAGGGCCTGGGCATCATCTTTGCAGGAATGATTGCTTAGCTGGTCTCCAGATAGCTTCTATTCATCTTTGTGTACAAAATAAACTTAATTCTGACTCTATTTTGTTACTGTTAGCAACCAATAATATCAAATGGCTTCAATTTAATAAAGAAGAAACTCAGCTTATCTGTACTTACATAATGTAAGTAGTGTTCTATGGCTGAAATGTCCAAGTCAGTAGGCTTTCCGAATGCTTCCTTCATCCAACACCACGAATCATGAGATGGTATCATTTTTTCCAGCCCTGTTGGGAGCATCTCTGCAGTGCACCCTCTGGAATAAAAGCCATGTCCATGTCTATCCTTGGCCAAGAGCAAGGCCTTGCAGAGCCTTGTAATATGACCTCCAAATCATAGTAATAA